TCGCCTATCTCGCCGTCCAACGAAAATAGTTGGTTGCACTTGTGTCTGGCATCGGCCGTCTTCGGCGCCTCGGCAGCCCACGCCGCTGTCTGGGGTTCTACATATGTCCCATGTGCACCTGCTATCCACCTGCCCAGCCTTTTGGTCGCCTGAGCCGATGCAGACAAGATATATTTGTCTTGGTGTTCCTTGTGTCCCTGACTGTTTCTACCCAGCCGCTGGCCGAGACCATAGCCTCTGCAGGGTTTGCACGCCAGGAAATCCTGCAGGCGGGTGTCCGGTGCGGTGCCAGGAAACATTGGGGGTCCTAGCCGTGGGGCTCCTCGGGGAGAAAAATAAACCAACGACGAAACCAAAGGTGACCTTATCCAGAAGCTCTTTCTTCGGGCTGTTGTTTCGCTGACCCTGAAAGTGGTTTTGCCCCAGCCGGACCCGTGGCCTGCATCCAGCGTCCCACGAGGTCGTCTCGCGCCAGCGCCTGGCGTCAACGCGGCGGCGGCAGGGACTGGCGACAGGCGACGGAACCGGCTGCCGCTTCACCTGGTTGAGGTTGGGTCCGAACACGTTGTCCTCCACTGGCCGCGGCGTGACCTGGCAGGAACGCCGTCTCCAACTACTAATTCTGGCTAACCTTGCATGCCTCAGTAACAGTTGTTATTTCATAGTTGAGTTACGTCAATGAGAGTAAAATGACAGTAAATGAGAGTAAATGACTTTCCCGGTCCTGCTCAACAGACTGCGGCATTTCAAGTGAGTTTGCCCTACCGTGACGGCTGCGAAAACCACCCCCTCGCTACCGACATGCCTGCCCTTTTTTTTTCCCGAACCGCGTGTCTTTGACGCTTGGAGTCTGGATGTGATTCCTGGCTAGCGAGGCTGCATCCTGAGCAACGCTCTAGCGTGTCCCTGGGCAAAGCCCTGGGTGCAGCTCGTGTGCTGTTGAGCGATTCAAGATGGATGCGTGTCACATGTCGGTACCGGTGCTCGGTGTCATTTCATTGTTGAGTTAAGTACATGATAGGAAATGATCGTCAATGAAGTTCAAGGTCTGGCTAAACAGACTGCAGCGTTTCCAGTGAGTTTGCCCTACCGTGGTGACGAAACCGCATGGCTATTTGGGATCTGACAGGTCTGCGAATGCTTTCGGATTACACTGGCAAAAAGGAATGTCCTACGATATGATATGCTGATGGGTCAAGACCTTTACTTGCTCTGAATGCAGTTCTACACAGGCCAGGTCTAGGTGCGACAACACCATACCGCGGCGTGAGCAACGCTTGAGCACTCCCCTAGGCAACGCCCGGGTTGCAGCCGGTTTTCTGCACTCTCTTTGAAGCACCCAACAAAACGCATGGCTATTTGGGAAGTGACAGGCGTGCGAATGCTGCAGAGCTTAGGTGTCGGGTCATGGTCTCTGGGACGTCTGCCGGCAATGTCGTGTCCCTGGGCAACGCCCTGGCTGCAGCTCGTCGCATTGCGTTTAGCTCGGTGGGTTCAATCCGGCCAGGGGCGCCCTGGCCGTGGCATAGCCGAAGGCGGTTCTCTCCTCTCCGTAGGAGAGAGGGGCCGCCGCCCCAGCCGCAGACCACCCGGTACCGCCAAAAACCCCCGCGTTTTACGGTGTTTTGTGCTCTTCCAATTTTTTCCCATTTTTCGGATCTTGTGGCTCAAGATGGATCAACATGGGCCAACATAGGCCGCAAGATGGGCCAACATAGCCCCAAGATGGGCCAACATAGCGCCCAAGATGGGTCAAGATAGCCCCAAGATGGGCCATCATAGCTCCAAGATGGGCCAACATGGCCCCAAGATGGGCCAACATGGCCCCAAGATGGGCCAACATAGCCCCAAGATGGGCCAACATAGCCTCAAGATGGGCCCACATAGCCCCAAGATAGGCCGCCGACCATCAAAATATCCTGTGTTTTACAGTGTTTTTTTTGCTGTTCCCATTTTTCGGATCTTTTGGCTCAACATGGGTCAACATGAGGCCAACATAGGCCAACATAGCCACAAGATGGGCCCACATTGCCCGCAAGATAGGCCACCATACGCCAACATAGGCCAACATAGCCACACAATGGGCCTACATAGTTGGGCCCCTGGCCGGCTGTCGCGCGTAAGCGCTTAAATCCGGCCAGGGGCCCCCTGGCCGTGGCATTGCCGAAGGCGTTTCTCTCCTCTCCGTAGGAGAGAGGGGCCGCCGCCCCTGCCGATGGAGAGTCGGTAGGGCCAAAAACCCCCGCGTTTTACGGTGTTTTGTGCTCTTCCCATTTTTTCCCATTTTTCGGATCTTGTGGCTCAAGATGGGTCAACATGGGCCAACATAGGCCTCAAGATGGGCCAACATAGCCCCAAGCTGGGCCAACATAGCCCCCAAGATGGGCCAACATAGCCCCAAGATGGGCCAACATAGCTCCAAGATGGGCCAACATAGCCCCAAGATGGGCCAACATAGCCCCAAGATGGGCCCACATTGCCCTCAAGATACGCCAACATAGCCCCAAGATGGGCCAACATAGCCCCAAGATAGGCCGCCGACCGTCAAAATATCCTGCGTTTTACAGTCATTTTTTGCTGTTCCCATTTTTCGGCTCTTTTGGCTCAACATGGGTCAACATAGGCCTCAAGATCGGCCCACATAGCTTTCAAGATAGGCCAACATAGCCCCAAGATGGGCCCACATTGCCCTCAAGATAGGCCAACATAGCCCCAAGATGCCACAAAATGGACCAACATAGTTGGGCCCCTGGCCGGCTGTCGCGCGTAAGCGCTTAAATCCGGCCAGGGGCCCCCTGGCCGTGGCATAGCCGAAGGCGTTTCTCTCCTCTCCGTAGGAGAGAGGGGCCGCGCCCCCTGCCGCCGACACCTTTGCCCGCCAAAAACCCCCGCGTTTTACGGTGTTTTGTGCTCTTCGCATTTTTTCCCCTTTTTCGGATCTTGTGGTTTAAGATGGGTCAACATGGGCCAACATAGCCCCCAAGATGTGCCAACATAGCCCCAAGATGGGCCAACATAGCCCCCAAGATGGGCCAACATAGCCCCAAGATGGGCCAACATAGCCCCAAGATGGGCCAACATGGCCCCAAGATGGGCCAACATAGCCCCAAGATGGGCCCACATTGCCCTCAAGATAGGCCAACATAGCCCCAAGATGGGCCAACATAGCCCCAAGATAGGCCGCCGACCATCAACATATCCTGCGTTTTACAGCGTTTTTTTGCTGTTCCCATTTTTCGGATCTTTTGGCTCCACATGGGTCAACATGAGGCCAACATAGGCCAATATATAGCCACAAGATGGGCCAACATAGTTGGGCCCCTGGCCGGCTGTCGCGCGTAAGCGCTTAAATCCGGCCAGGGGCCCCCTGGCCGTGTCCTTGCCGTACGGCAGTTCTCTCCTCTCCGTAGGAGAGAGGGGCCGCCGCCCCAGCCGCCGACCACCTCGTACCGCCAAAATATCCCGCGTTTTACGGTGTTTTGTGCTCTTCCCACTTTTTCCCATTTTTCGGATCTTGTGGTTTAAGATGGGTCAACATGGGCCAACATAGGCCTCAAGATGGGCCAACATAGCCCCCAAGATGGGCCAACATGGCCCCAAGATGGGCCAACATAGCCCCAAGATGGGCCAACATAGCTCCAAGATGGGCCCACATAGCCCCGAAGCTGGGCCAACATAGCCCCAAGATGGGCCAACATAGCCCCAAGATGGGCCCACATTGCCCTCAAGATAGGCCAACATAGCCTCAAGATAGGCCGCCGACCATCAAATATTTCTGCGTTTTACAGTTTTTTTCTGGCTGTTCCTATTTTTGAGATCTTTTGGCTCAACATGGGTCAACATGAGGCCAACATAGGCCAACATAGCCACAAGATGGGCCCACATTGCCCGCAAGATAGGCCAACATACGCCAACATAGGCCAACATAGCCACAAAATGGGCCAACATAGTTGGGCCCCTGGCCGGCTGTCGCGCGTAAGCGCTTAAATCCGGCGACGCCTCGCCGTGTAGTGTGGGGAAGCTAAGCATAGCTTTAGCTACCCGGGGGCGCGCCCCTGCCGCCGACCCTCCCCAAAAATCCTTTAGCCTGGTGGGGTTTTCACGTTTTTCGGGGTCTGGGGTGGACAAAAAGAGGGTAAAATTTGAAGATGCGTTTTGGAGGTCCCAAAAATCGGAAAAAAGTACCGTTTTGACACATTTTTCGGACGATTTTTCGCTTTTCGGAAGTCACAAAATGCTGTAAATTACAACATTTTTGCGTTTTAACGTCGTTGGCGGGAGCCATGCAAAAACGCAGAAAATGCTGTAAATACCAGTACTTTTTGGACCCGAGATGCACAAAACACTGCAAATACCAGTGTTTTTGAAAGCCAAGCAAAAAAACATTGTAAATTACAGCATTTTTGGCGGGTTGATCGCAAAAAATGCTGGTATTTACAATGTTTCTGCAATTTCAAGCAAACGTGGAAGGCACGAAACACTGTAAATAGCGGTGTTTTGGCAACTTTTGGACGCCGAAACGCTGGTATTTACGATTTTTTTGGCTTGTGACGGGGCCACTCCCCTGTAAATTACAGCATTTTTTGCACTTTTTGAACCGATTTTTTGTCTTGATGAATGCAAAAAACGCTGGTATTTACACGTTTTTCAAAAAATCGAAGATCGTGATGTGAACGAAACTCTGTAAATAAGAGTGTTTTAGCCACTTTCGGGGACTAAAACTGTGGTATTTACACGGGTTCTTACCATCTCACAGCACAAAATGCTGTAAATTACAACACTAGGCATAGGCCAACATAGCCTCAAGATGGGCCAACATAGCCCCAAGATGGGCCAACATAGCCCCAAGATAGGCCGCCGACCCTCAGCATGTCATGTTCGCAAGTTCAGATGACATCCCCCTCTCTCTTTCCCTCCCCCGACCCTTACCGGCGTCGCCGGTGTGCGAAGCTCTACAATATTATGTGTGTGTGTGTGTTGGTCCCTAAATGTCTGACAAGCCACTTTCACATAGGCCATCACTTGAAGCGAGTGCCAGCGTTCATTACCTGGGGGCTCCAAGATAATCCAAGGTAGCACTATGCTTGGAGGGTCACGCTGGTATTCGGAAACTGGAAACTGGAAACCGAGTTGTATTCGAAAACTGGGAGTTGTATTCGGAAACGTGGAACCGTGACAAAAACTCTTGGACAGGTGAAACTGTGAAGTTGAGGAATACATTTGTATGTAATGCTCTGGGGGGGATGGGGGGCGGTTTTAAGGGGCGTTTGGGGAGGGGTTAAAAATGACTTGCAATTGCGACAAGAACTTTTGGTAAGGTGAGGCTGCAAAGAGCGAAAAGATCCGCCGAAGTTGCAGTGAATCCACCGAAAAAAAGAACTGCAACGCACCTGGTTCGACATCGGACGTATCAGTCACCCTACAAGCAACCTCAAGAAGCCCTAAAGCAGCCCTGGACCAACCATGGAATGGGTTTCTGAAAATGAATCCGTAGTTTCTGAATCCGACAAAATAGTTTCTGAATCTGACCAAATAGTTTCATTCGCCGCCTGCAGTTTCCGAATCCGACATCCAGTTTCTGAATCCGGTGTCGAGTTTCTGAATCCGACTTCAATCATGCTGGGATCATCCCACTTAGTAGCTGGTTAGTCACTGCATGGGATTTTAACCCATTTATAAACGGGATAATTCCACTTAGTGGACTTCCTAACCAAGGTTATTCAGTGTTATTAATCATGCACTGCAGATATTCTCTGGATCTGTCTGACTACTGTAGGCAGCGCCAAGATGCCAAAGACCTCTGAGACCTCTTTGTCAAACTGCTGCTGCTGGTAGATGCGTGGAACACCTGTCAAAAGTCATTTGGGGGTTTCCACAAATGGGGGTACCCCAATAGCAGGATGTTTTATAAAGGAAAATCCATCTAAAAATGGACAATTTGGTATCCCTATTTTAGGTTGAACTTGATTTGTGTTTCTTCCCTAGTGCCGCCTGAGGAAAATCAAGCCAAAACAGGGCCGGAATGGAACCACTCTCATGATTTGGACAGGATGAGTCTTCCTGGCCTTCGAAACCATCCAGCATCGCAATCTGTTCATCACTCAGGAAGGTGACCGTGCCCAGAGCGATACTACGCTTGTCAGGGATGAGCCTCAAGGTCCCAAAAAGATAGCTGAGTCAGTGGGTAGCCAAGTCTTTGTTGCTGAGTCAGCAAATCAAAAGATCATGGCTTGTTTTGAGGAGACAATGTTAATCAATGTTAATCATGTTTGATACCCACTAAACTGGGATATTTTCTCACATCTCCTCCGCTTCCAGGAAAACCCTCACAACCAGGACGCCCCGTCACCAAGCCACGTCGCGCTACCCACGCATGGCCGCTTTTCCAAGGCCCAACTGCGGTTGGGTCCGCCTCACTCACTACCCCATACCCCAAATTTCCCCAAATTTGATGGGTTCTCATCATGTGCACCCCTAAAAAGTGCCATTTGAGGGTATCCCACCATTTTCAGACACACCCATACACCCATACGCCCAAGTCCTTGCAATGTTTGCGTTTGACAGCTATTCCCAATCAAAACGCTCGCCACGACCCCTGTCCCGGCACAGACCTTGCAAAACCCCTTTCCCCATTGGAAACGCTAGCTTTAACAAGCCTTGACCAAACTATCATGGTTCTATTATGTTCTATTCGTTTTTACCCCACAAAAGTAAAACATATGCTAATAGTAAAACAACGCCCTACCCCAAACACAACCTAAACGCCGCTTCGCCACTTTAGGTCTACATGAGATAGTAAGACAGCAACCTACCCTAAACACAAGCTAAACGCCGCATCGCCACGACTTCCACAAAAGCCTTCCCCCAAGCTAATTTCAAGATTTTTGGGATTTCGCCACGACTTGGGCAGTTGGGAGTATCTGAAAAATCCTAATCGCCGCTCTGTAGATTGCATTGTAAGTCAAAACACTTCAACAGACCTGTGAGAAATTCAGGATGAACAGTCAGATGCCGAATCCAATTCTTACTAATGCAACCCTGCGTATAAAATAATGCGATTCGGAAGGAAAGAGAAAACCAAAAAACAAGTTGGACACAATCACCGGAAAGCTTGGTCTTGTGCCCAAAAGTGACTCGTAGCGCTCAACCTCCAAAAATAAAGTATAAAAACAGTAGATCGGTCCAACAAAAATATATATCAAACCGCATAAAGTCCCTATATCTCACACAGATTTTTCCCCCATCAACCCCAAAGTTCCAAGGAACAAAAGGCCAGGACCTGTCCACGGATCCGTGCGGGATAACCCATCAGGCTCTGGTCACCCAGGCGACCTGACTCCGAAGCCCGAGGGGCCCGAGAGGTCAAGGGGAGTCATCCAAGCCTGGAAGGATGAACCAGCAACCCACTGAAACATAGTGAAACATCGTGAAACCATGTGGGTTTTATCTGAAAATGTTGGGAAAACTTGAACCCCCTGCAATTCCCATGGATTCTCATGGGTTTTTCCCTCTCATGGCGATGGTTGGCGGTATACCCCATTTTCAGACACAGCCATATATGGGTATTCTCATAAAATTGCTGTGTTTTTTACAGTGAAAATGATGATAAGAGTGACAACTGTTTCTGGCCAGAAAATGAGAAAAACATGAGATAAATCACTGCAGCAAATTAAGATAGATCAACGGGAAATTCACCATGAAAGTAGATTCTTGGCCGAATGGGCAACCCATGGATTCCATACTTGTAGCTATATTAATTTAGCAGAGGGTAAACTATGATGACAACGACAATGAAAGCAAACGAATGGGGGATTGCAAAAAAAAAGTGCTATTCATGGTGTTTCATCCCAATGCGTTTGGATTGTATGAACGTAAGATCTATAAAACGTGTGTGCGTGTGCGTGTGTGTGTGTGTGAATTTGCGTGTGTCCATTATTAGGTCCATGATCATTCATTCTCGTCCATTATCATTATCATCCTTTGTCAGCCACTACGAGTATAATCCATTTTCGTCCATTACCTATCATCCATGAATCATAGCGTCATCCCCGCATTTGCAAGCCCTGCTTGAACAAAAATCAGGGGTACCCTCCCAAATAATGACAATCTGCTACTTAAATAAGTGGTACCCCCCCTTAAACAGCCCACGGGGTTATTCATGCGGGGTTGACATTATCCGTGAATTAGGATCCAACACTTATCCGTTAATTATCCTATATCATCCATTCATTAATTACTATCCATTCCTATCCATTACAGTATGTAATCTCACAATAATTCACCAACCTGAAATAAGGTTGGTTACCCCTTACTAACCATCCGTGATCTACTGTGCTGTCGGAGTGAGGTCGTTATTGTTTAACCATGTCTCATTGCCTTCAGGCTGAAGAAAAAAACATAAAAAAACTAGACTTCAGAATCTTGTAGCCAGTTGTTGGTTATCCATTACTATCCAATAATTACTATCCAATAATTACTATCCACTACTATCGGTTCCTCTCCCCTTTCCACCTCGATTGCCTCGCCTCGCAGCTGCCGGACGCTGTTGGACCCGAAGCCAAAGACCGGCGTGCCCAGCGGCCAGATTGGAGGACCCGCCATGGCGGTCAGGATGAAACCGATGTTTGCCGCGGAGCTTTTAATGCGCCATCATAAAAAGTGCTGCAACAAAATATGGGTCATAATGTGTCCCAAGAATACCATCTAGTTATTTTTGGAGTAAATGATCTGATCTGTCATATGTATAAAGATATTGTATATAACATACATCATATCATATATCCAATGTGCAATAGGGCAAACAAGCAAACAACGCATGGAATCGCCATGAACCATCAAGATCCATCTAGTTAAAAGCGATTGACACAGTCAAGCAATATCTTTATATAGACAAATAAAACATAATAAATCATGCTAAATCCAAGGTACCATTCCATCAACTTGGTTGCCTTGAGCCTTGAACTTCATCGTTAAGTTGTTGATAATAATTGTCCGGGATTTTCTTTGCAGTGCCTGTGTCCGTGTCGTCACAACAAAGCTTCCCCGTTGGGGCTATACCACGGGGAGCATGTGGTCTGATTGGATGGATGGATGACTACATGACATGTTCAGATGTATGTGTGATGCATTTAGACACAGAACAATACACATTTACATGTCTGATCATGTCGTACGTGTTAAGACACAGAGCAACGAGAAAAAGAGGAGAACAAGAATAAATACATTACATTACATTACATTACATTACAGTATATGCACACGAAACACTCGAACACATCGTGTTCCCTTGTTTTGCCATGTATGAATACAGTAAACGGTATGTGCCATCATCCACAACCATCCACAACCATCCACAACCCCTCCATTCAGGGCGGCGCCCGCCAAAAAGCCGGGCAGACACGGAGCTGTGGCCAATGAAGATCCTCATGACCTGCCACTTGCCAACAAGGACGACCATCCAAATAGATATATATATATATACAGTATATATAAAGGATGACCATCCAAATATCATCCAAATATCTATGACTTGGGAGATCCAATAAAAACCCATCAGTTTTCTATATTTTGTGGGCTCGAAGACGTTCACAGAACACATGCTTCCTTGATTCGCATTGTAGTTCTTGTCCAATCAGGTCCAACAAGCGCGATGAAGACAGTATCTGGACAGAAAAAAGGTGTAGATCGATGATCATATCAAAATAATGTGGTGAAGCCAACAAGAAACCATCCCCAAAATCACCACAAATGGGGGTGGTATAAACCATCCCCAAATGGTAGGTTGATGGCTCCCTTGGGAAATAGTCAAGAGCAGAGATCATCCCTGGGGATAGATTCAAGAATGCCAAGCAGATTTCGAACCAGTTACCCGGATTTCTCCCAAGAATGGGGGATGCCCCGTTGCCATTTCAATGGGAAAATTTTACCATAAACCGATTTTGGAATGGTCTTGGGGAACCCTAGCAACCTCTACAAGAGGCCATCACTCAGCCAAGCGCGACTTGCGTCGCCTCTTCTGGATGGCTGTAGACTTTGGTGCAACAATGGATCCCTGAAGGACTGAAATAATACTCCTGCAGGCCAGCAGATATCTCCACATGGACGTGGCTCTAAGCGAACATATCCATGGAACCCCTGAAGCCACTGGATGCGTTTTTGGAGCTTCCAATTATGCCTTTGTCACCGCCAAGGTACAAAAAACCTAAGGGTCTTGCCACTGGCAAGGCATCTTGATACATGCTGGACATCCATCCGCCCATGTCACCGGGACCATACCCATCTGGTCCTCTCCGGCGATGAGGACCGAGGTGTGGTAGCCACCAAAGCCCCTAGCAACATGATGCTCATGCGCAACATCCAACATATTTCCTAAAAAGAATGCATAGAATGCAGTACAATATACCAGCACTTAGCTTCCAAAGATGCCGATCACATGTCCATTCAGCATGACTACTCGGGTGGAGTTGCCACCCATGACAAATATCTGCCAATGCTTGGATTCCAGTTTGGATCCCGGTGCAACGAACATGGAGGGTCCAAATCCTGACAGTGGTCGGCTTGGAATTCCTGACCTACCCCCACCATGCGCCTCAGGCCACCTATAGGAGAGACAGCCAGCTCAACTGTCACGCCTGGGTGGAACTCAAGTTGGAGGGTGCGAACCGCCCAGGACATAAGAATCCATTGCTGTTTTGCAGTAAATGAACAGAAGACATGGAAAACCATGGATGGTAGTTACAAAAACATTATACAAATGGTGGGTTAAGCTATGATTTTAAAGGATGGTATGTTCATTCGTGCACAGACCTTGAAAGGGAACAGGATTTGTCCTATCTAAATGACTTTACAGCATTGAGCTTGTTGTCATGCTGAGTCTCTTCCAGTATTGCCAGAGCCTAGTTTTAGCTATTGCAACTGGAAAAAAATGCCAAATTTGGGTTGATTCTTGGATGAAAAAGGATTTATTTACCACATGACATGCAATGACATGCATTTTCAGGAAATGCCTTGAAGGACGTTTCAGCAAAACCCTGAGGATCCTGCTACCAGCACTTTTCAAGCTCCGCAGTGGCTGAGACTTCTGAACCTTCCCTGGAGGGGCAGAATCTGTGAGTCAAACGCTTAGAAAGGCGATAAAGCCACAAGATATCACTAGGCACTTCTGATCCAGTCGCTAAACTGCACGCATTGTATTACTTGACCTCTCTGCCGGGCCACAGTCTGAAGTACAGTACCTATCTACGTATGCATCGAATCCACAATGTGTAGGCACGTGTATATGCTAGCCAACAAAAATACGGTACCATCCAAGGATCCCTGTCTTTGTCAATATGATTCAATGTGATTGTTTAGATACATCAAGAGGCTAAGGAAAGAACAACTTTCAACTGGTTCAACTGCGCGGCACATACGAAGCCTATCCCAGTGACAAACCGAGCCCGCCTGCATGACAGTTGAAGCAGGGCCCTGCACAAGGTGCCAGCAAAAAATCTTCCAGCCAGTCCAACATGATCACCTCAGAAGCCAAGAGCACACGACACAGAGCGAACGAAAATGGTGATACCGTAGATAGAGTACTGAGAACAAAGGGAAGTTCAGACCTGATGAAAATTGCCAACAGCTTTGGGCTAACTGGTTACAGAAACATTGTTCAAAAACGTCTGAAGGCGCCCCAAGCGCATTGGTTTCCCCACTGTTGAAGGAGGTGCGGAGCACTGGAACCCCCTGGCCGCCTTGATCTAAAAAGCCAAACAATGAGTGTACATCTCAGTCATCCGAACCTCCAAGAAAGCTAAAAGGATAAACCTAGTCCAACTAGACATGCCAACTAGGTGCATTTCCTGGCGACACTAGACCCAATGTGACATCATGCTCACCTGAAGAGTTGGAGGTGTGAAAACATGCGAAATCTGAAGCTCGGTATGAGCCATGGGTTTGGAGGAGGTTCTTCGCTGTAAAACAATAGATAGTCTGATGATTTGGGAGAAATGGATGGAAATGGGCCAATGGGGGGGACTTTTTCAGATCCAACTTCCGCGAAGCCATGCGCGACTCCATTTTTGCTTTGGCAGCATCATCTCAAGCAATCACCAGCAGGAGTTCCAGCCTCTGCTGGCTATGAGACCAAACCCCCTTGGTGTGACCCCAAAAATCAGTGATGATGAAGGGTTTGTTGAGCACCAACCAATCATAAGGGCTATTGGGAGGGTGAAATCATGCTATATTACATGTAATATATATATATTACATTTTTTTTATTATCATGTCAAAACTGCAAACAAATGTTTCCTTTTGCGTGTTCAAACAGCCACAGAACCCACTCCATTAGAGGTCTCCTCCAAAGACCCTAAAACCTACATTTGACTTTTAAGGTTGTAGCTAAGCATGGGATTGATCCGCCACTTCCCTCGGGGTGTGGTGGGCTGATGACAACGCCCCATTTTTGGGCACCTCTCCCACAAAGCAGGCCCATCTTTGAATTTTGAGGGGATGGATTCTGATAGCAGGATCCTGTGGAGCGAGCCATGAGGAAAAAAAGCAACCAGTGAAATCAATCTGTTGCCAGTGCTGGCTAGACGTGATAGCCTTAAACATATTGGCCGCAAAAATGCGATGATTCCCAGCTATCACCAACTTTTGAGATCATCTCATCTATAGCTATAAATGTGATGTTCCTAGCTGTAAACCGTGCTATGAACCTCCATATTTACTTCGGGAATTTCCCCTGTTCGCCAAGCAGATCAACCCCGGGCAGCTTAGTCCAGCTTAGTCTGCAGTTCGTCACTGCCGGACGTGAGGCAAATGGATGGAAATAAATGGAAAAATATATGGAAAAGAACTGAGAACAGTCCATCATGTTGTCCATATTTTCCAAATGAACATTCCATGATGACAAAAGAATTGAGAACATTGCTGAAAAGTTGTGAAGAGCAACAAATGACAACAGCCAGTCGTCCCAGTCGTCATCCCAAGGCCATGAAACCTCCCGGGCATGGCATCCATGGCATCGCTCCAGGCCCCTCAGCCAAAACAACTATGGGGGGTTCGGCCTGGGGGATCCCCAGTCGTCACCATGGTTGTTTCAATACTAAAATGGTCTGACTGGAGGATTTGGGATACCCCCATGACTTAGGACAATCAATATATATATATAAATATAATATATATATAATATAATATATTCATTGATGATGATGATGATGATGATGATGATGATGACGATGACTTCGGTTTTTATGAAAAGTGGCCTCAACAAGCAGAGGTTGAAGCACCCAGTGGGCATAGGGTGGTGCGACATGTCCATATTCTGGGCACTTGGAGCGGGTTCCAAAAGTCCAGGGACCGTAGTGGACGAGAGATGCATGTAGGCTTACTGCACCACTGCCCAAACAACCTTTAGCTTGTACCATCTCTTATCCATCTCTTATCCAAATCTGTATCCAAGATCCGCACGTGGTTCACCATCAAAAATTAGGGATTTAATATGATTTCATGAGATATGAATGGGATCTCATCTTTTTCCACTCAGATCCTCTGCAATGAATAGCCCTTTTTGACTCTCGCAGCTTGACCACAGTGACCTGCGACATCCCAGTCTTTGGGGGTCACTCCACCAGAGATGCGTGCCGTATTGGTATGTTTCGAGAGTTCAAAGCCTAAACCCACAGATTTGGGTCAATGTCAATGTTACCATCCGACAAACTGTCTCATCTACGTGTATTGATACTTGAAAAGGCAATTAAAAGGAGAAAGATTTGAATTGTAATTCATATCTCTCACCATTTCATGGCCTTTCTACTTGGTCTTCATGAGAAACACCTTCCAAGTTGTCACCTTGCTCAGCTCATGGTGAAGCTGGCATTGCTCCCCGGACCTGGCGGTTACATTGAATCTCTGAGTATCCGCCAGCCCAAGCTTCCCACCGTAAACGGCTGACTTATCAGTTGATTTCGCTTGAGGATCACAATAATTCTACAAGATACGGTGACCTTTTGCCACCCAAGTGACCAAAGGTCACTCTTCGACACCCATCCATGGTCACCCCAGCAAAACCAGGAGGAAAAGCCAGAAATTCCATCACCAAGCGGCACATCCGCAAGCAGTTCTCGGTGGTCACATTGTACTGCGCCACATTGGACCAAAACATTTTGGACGCTTGTGTGAAAATCCTCGGTGCGGACGGATGCAACAAGCAACCAGGTTCTGGAAGGTGAAGGAAACTTATGAAGAAATTAACCATGGAGCAAAGGTAGAAGTGGTAGAATAAAGACATTTTGGGAATATAGACCAATCGAGATTGAGACATTAATCAAGAAGAATGCGATGGTTTGAGGACATAGATACATCACCAAAGCATGCTTTCCCGCGTTCCAGCTAGGATTGCGAAGATAGATGTTCGTTGAAAAACCAATCCACCTCACTGATCTGAAAGTTGGGTGCATCTTTCCAGTGACAACTTGGGATCATCTCTGAACAGGTTCACATTTAGAAGGGCCCAACGACGCCCGTTGCTTGCAATTGGTCACCAAAGATCTCTGCACAATAAGACATGGTTGAAAAAATGTAACCATGCCAAAGCAACACACACTTCGAAGACACAACTACAGTTGGATCCAACCTAAACTCATGCGCATTGACTTTGCCAATGGTGGGTCGTTGAAGCAAATGTATCAATAGCACTGGCAAAATTGTGCGAAGAAGTAATGGATGTTTTTCACCAACAAATCATGGATATGTCGGAAGAGAACGTCAGGGAGACCATCAACTTTTCCATGATGGGTGGATGATCTGATGTTGGATCCATTCAGCATAGCATTTTTGGATGGCCCTCGTCATCAATTAAGAGCCAAGGTTCTGTTTGTCATAAGGATCTTCAATGGCATGGTCTGCTAAGAAATCCTCGTGCCAGGAGCCAGCATCGTGTGTTTCTTTGGGTATACATGTATTTAAATACATGTACAATACACATGATACATGTATGTCATTTGTACAATGATAATTAAAACATTAAAAAAACAATAACAATAACAATAACAATAAATGATGTAGTTATAATATGTATATATATATGTACATATATAGGTATATATATACGTATATATATATATAATTATATAATATATATATATATATATTTATTTATTTATTTACACGTCCTCATTGCATCTTCTCTGAGCTAACGCTGCTGCAAGGCGCCTCTTCTCTGAGCCACCTGTTCTGTCTGTTCGCTTCCTTTCCCCGCTATTTCTTCCGTGGGCCAACTTTTGCATGAGCTAATTCAAGTCTTCTCAGGGCCGCCCCTTATTTATATAATGTTGCGTTCTTGAACCAGCTCTCTCTCTCTCTATCTCTCTCTTTAGCCCTTTCTCTGAGCATCCCTTCTCGGAGCTATCTCTGTCCTCAGCTACATACCTCTCCTTTGAAACCCGTCCCTGGCTAGCCCTTCTTCGAGCCACCCCTCATGCGAGCTACCCCTTCTCTGCACTATATACTTCTTCTCTGACCCAACACTTCCCTGAGCCACGTCCCCTCTGAGCCAACTCTTCTCTGAGCAACTACTTATTCAACTCTTGGGTCCTAGGTGAGCTACTTCTTCTGCGGACCAACTCTACTTCTTTTTCTGGGTCGACTCTTTCCTAAAGCTTATCACTCTAAAGCTAAAGCTTGCCAAATTTCGAGGTGCCCAATGAGAATCAAGATCCAACTCAAACAAAAAGTCCAAGGCAAAGGATATTCTTTCGTGAAATGTAGTAGCAAAAACCCGGCTGAACTGCGCTGAAAGCTTCGGAATAGTTGTCGTAGAACAGGCTCTTGCGCATGTTGGCAAACTCCACGGGCCAGCATTCACCCCCAAACATCGCGTGGAAGAGGCAAACTGAGAGATCCTTGCAGCCAGCAGGTATTGGGCGGTCATGGCTGGACTATTGTCATGGTGAACCATTTAGGGCATGGTCGGTCCACCAGTGACCCCAAGGAATTTGGGGAACCACTGCCAAATATAACATCACTTTGGGTCTGGCATTGATCATATACCCATGATGTACATTGATATACCAAATGTGTTGGTGAACTCCCCAGTGTTTCCTTGTAAAGTGCTAGCTAATTATCATTAACAAACATTGACCACGCCGTGCCAAGGGGCAAAATGGTCTGTCAGTCCAACAAAGCTGAATTTCTGAAGTCTCGCGAGGGCAAGTTTCAATGCTGCCGCCTGACCCAGTTGGTGCCAAGGATTTTTCGTAAGCCACTGAGAATGCCGCGGCCAATGGTTCCCATATTGGAAGTCCGGTTCCCATGTGGCTACAATTCTGAACGCTCGTGGTGAATGCCCGATCCCTATCATGGCTGAAGAAAAGAATTCTTGCTTCCATGGCATACACTGGGTTTGTGGGAAGCTTCTCGGGTTGCCATTCTTATAATTGATCTTCATGAAAAGCCAATTGAAGGCCAGCACACTGTCCCTGAACGTTTCCGAGATCTGCCGAGTGGCCGAGGGATCTTTCTTCAAGCATCTGCGACATTCACCGTGAAGGCACTGGGAATCTTTCATAATCCAATTGTCAAAATGCATCTCGCACCTCAGGAGATCTAACTCTGAAACCTCTATGATCAGCGGAAAACCATTGGGTTTTTCTGATGCTTGACAGAAAGTGGAAGACGATGTAAGGACACCTTTTTGGTGAACCGAAAATTCTTTGTGAATCTATTCTGCAGATTTCAAGACCCCATCAGCAGGTCTGAGGTACCGGATCGGATTCACATCATACATTCCGCTCAGCATTTTGGTCACAGTTCCTTGCGCAGAGAATACAGATCCCACGGCTGGGAAAATTGGCTTACACGGCAGAAGCACAAAAACCAAAAGTCAACAGAAAGAGAATGAAGTTTGACTGCGACATCATGCAATGGAATGTGGTACGAAAAAACGGAGTGCCAGAAGAACATAATCTAAAAGTTTCAAAGATATGAGATGAGATGAGATGAGATGAGAGCTCAGATGGCCATACATATGTATATTATATATATATACTACCAACAGATGGCAAAGGAGCCACCCTCTGAGTATATCAACGGTAAGAAAATCCAAACGACAACCAGCAGGCTCTCCGCACAGCTCCATCAGCTTATGTGGCTGGCCTTACTCTGTACTGCCTCGTTAAGGTGCAGTGATGAGATCACTGGCTCGCAAAATGAATGTAACATGGCTTCAATATGCTTCAATAATACACCAATGCTGCACGCGGATGGGAACATTCCCCCTGAAACAGAATTCCTAAAATCAGTTTCAGTAGAACTAACAATCTTCTCTAGCCAACATCAAGGACTCAATGATCCACAAACCGGTACCAGGACAAACTTGGCTGGTTACTCAAAATAAGATGGACGTGGTCAAAAGATGTCAAAGTAAAGTGACCAAATCTGTTGATTCCATGATCATTTCCATCATCTTCCAGCATTTTCCATCCATCTATTGGGCCATCACTCTCTCCAGAGTCGGGTCCTCGTGCTACAGCTGCAAATTTCTTGAGGTAATGCATCTGCCTGGAGTGGTTGTACTCCGATAACCTCGGAAATCCCCGGAGAAATGCTGTCACCATGGACCCCAAATGGATACACTAATGTTTTTGCCTCCAGTTCTTCCAGAGTCCTGGTTGATGAGTTTTGATGGGATCATATGGGATCGATGAAAACCTACGTTGACCAAAGGAAAATAAAGGTTTGGGTGCCCGCAACATCCCACAACTACATCTTTCAAGGGACAAAGTCAATTTTCAAGGAGAGCTATCTCAATGAGGATTCCTAATAATTTGGATGTCAGCCTGTGCTCGTCCATTCGAACCTTCCGTTGCCTGATCCGTGCATGTGAATCTCGATGTGGTTTCCCAATTTACCAATGTGAATAAGCATCAATCCAATCTAAGGATCCCACATTTACATCCATAGTTGTGAGTGATTTTCCCATGTTTCACATATGGATTCCATGTTGCAGGCCATGGTTCTATAATTCTTTACCGGAAGACATCTCCATTGGTTCGCCAGTTAAGTGAGACCGCGGGACGGATTGTCAAGTGAAGAAATGACAAAGTGGTTGTATGCAGAGGCCACACGTGCTTGCGGCGAGCGAAACAAACCCACAAAGTGCCCTGGACGTCCGTGATGGTCGATGGGGGTTGGATGTTGGTGTAAATATGGCAGGCCAACATTCGGATGGAAACAAACTATTTCTGAAGGTTTATGAAAACCTAAATACAATGCTAGGCATTGTTTATCGTTGGCTTTACACGAAAAGTTGCGGCACCTCATGGCACATGGAACATCATGGAGCATCTTGGAAATAATGGAATATCATGGAACATCATGAAACTCCATGTCACAGCCGGGCCTTTCCACTCCTGGAAATCGCTATCTTGGATGGGTCGATGAGCGCCCGGCTCCGAAGATCTATTGGTGGTCCAGAAAACATCAGGAAACCATTCGTGCATCGGATACTTGTATATGAAGAAATCCTGAGCCATTCGGAATTGCAGAACAAGGACATTCAGATGACATCGATCATCGATTCACCTTTCACTTCCCGCACCACCGTCCCTGAATTCACCATTGGGATTTGAAAAAGAAAAAAACCGCGCGCTGTGTATACCACACCTAAACATATTGTGCGACATACATGAACATTTGCAATATAAAAGATTGACAAAGGAATGAAAATATAATTATGAACAAGAAAATAAAGGAAAAACAAAGACATTAATACACGTGTTATGTATGTATTACAATCGTAGTCATCATCGCAGCAGCCGTGATGATGATCATCTGGATTAAATTACAACATTTTGCCTGCAGTGCATATCACGTAGATGGTGATCTAAAAATATGACTATTATAGATATATCTATCTAATATCTATCTAAAAGATGTGTGCATATATACCTGAAAATATTTGAGATTGGCTTTGAATTTTAAAAAAATGAATCGAGTATATTAACGTCGAGGCAATACATTCCTCTGACAAACTATCAGTATGCACTCAACATTCGAATATATCGCGTATATAGACAATATATATATATACATACATACGAGTACAATGTAAATATAGATATATGGTGACTATATAGGAATAAATATGCTGCTATGCTGTATACACATATATAGACACACACAGCATTCCCTGATATGCAAATATGATATGCATAATGCTGAGCGAATAGATATCATGTTCAAAAATGCTCAATGGGTATCCCATGAACATTCTCTTACCGAGTAGCACGAGCGCCCTGCGTACCATTTTCACAGCTGTCTTCATGTGCGTCAGACACATTTCCTAAGCACCAGATGTTCATGTTCCAAAAACCCATTGAACTTACAAACTGCCAATGTGGTTTCAACATATCCCAACACCCCCGAAAAAACCATGCCAATAATTTAATGATCATTCTTCTGGATGGAATCTCAAACCTCAAACGCGCTTGAAACAATCAACAATTTCGGTCCCAAAAATGATGCAACTGAGCATTTTGAGGCAATCTCAATAGATGACTCCACATCTCAGTGGCAATAACCCATTCCGAAACAGCTACCGGGCGCTACCAGGCATCCGGAACAGCTGGGCATGTGAGCCAGCTCCGGCAAAGATGAATTGGCAAAATGTGCCAAGGTGGCTCCAAAGCTCGATCCGCCTGAGAAGGGAAGGATTGAGCTTTATGTAACATATGGGGATCTATGGGGATAAAATGTAAACCCAAGAAATCAAATTCAGATCAGTGGACTTCAACCAACTCTTCCCTTCACTTAAAGAAGTTGCAACGGACGCAGAGAATTTCCTCACAGTCAATGGACACGGGCCAGTTTGAGCCAGGCCACATTTCATGATGTGAAACCAAGCAATTCTGGCCTAGGAATGAACACAGCCAAAGCAAAGGCAGCTTCCTACTAGGGATAAGTGTGGGCCAAAAAATAGCCACTTGTTGGTGGATCATGGTGTATCTTGGCATTCGAAATCATTCGAATGCCTTCATGAAGGGCACACCTTCAGGACCAGCCTTCCACAACTTGCTTTCCAAGATGCTTGACATCGAGACAAGTTCCTGGGCTGAACCATGGGGATATCCCCTCCAGCATTGGATCACCATGGATCACTATGGATCAACCTCCAAAGTCGCCTCCAATGGTCCAAATCACTTGGGTTTATCATTTGTGGTGGATCCAAAAATCGAACCGCGCGACTCTTCCATGAGAGCTACTTGAAAAAATGCCGTCATAGTGCCTCCCTACCCACTTGTCCGACAGGTGTCTCATGCCAGGCACACATGCTATTGGCCCCGCATGTTTCCTTCAGCCGCCGTGCACAGCTTTGAGGTTGGATCCCCAGATCTGGCCGCCAGCGCTTGTGATCCTTGGCGCGGCTTCCCGGAGTCGGGTGAAACTACCATGCCATGTGTGCTACCTGTGATCACTTTAGCACATAGAACATCTCGTGTGAATTTCTATGGTTCCTGTTAGAAACGATGTTAAGTTCCATTTTTCGGAGGTGTGTAATGGCTGTGTTTTTTGCAGGAGAAACTCTCAGCCCAGCATCGCGTTGTACCAGGGCAGCTGATGTGGCACCGCACTCGGAAGGTTCGCTACAAGGCACCACGCTGCTAGTGGCTACCACTGCCACCTGTCCGCTTTGGAAGATGTTCTATGAATTTCTGAATAGGTCTGCACATTGAACCAAAAAGGTAAAAGAACTTCGTATGGGCATATTATCCATTCATATGACACATATGATGTTCATGCATGTAATACTGCATGTACGTGATAGTATACACCGATAACATCTATTGCATAACATGGCGTGCAGTACACCCAAAATGTTTGACCCAATTGACACCGAATCTTGGCAAATCATGGATAATCATGGTGATTCCAACAACCAACACGAGTCACCCCATCGAGTCATCGAGTTTCCGCATGGAAAAACACCATGCGATGTAAACCTTCGCGATCTGACGATGTCAGCAAGACGGTGAACAAGATGGGTCTGGATCGTCTACAGTTCTAAACCATGGAAAGAATGGTTTCGGAATACATCTTTGATGCGGCAGAATTCTTTGTACGTGCTAGCCCATACCTGAACGAAGTTCGGAGGGACCTTCTCTCTGCAACCTCTGACCCGACTGATATTCACGCACGATCGGGGCGACTACCTGGTTTGGGTGTAGGGTATGGTATGGTGAAAAAAAGGAAACATACATACACACCTAGACATACACCCAGGTACACACCTACAATGAACCGGTTTTTGCCGCTCGTAATCTGAACTCCGTCTTTTGTTGATGGGTCAAAACCCCCGCTTCTGTTCACATCATAGCTGGAATTTATGATCCCCTAAAAATGGAAGTTGTAGGCAACTTGTAGGTATTAATCCCTAGCCATATGGCAGTGTGTCAAAACCTGGTACCCCTAGTGAACATCAAAATAGCTGGTAAATGGATGTAAATGGATGTTCATTCCACTAAAAATGGTATTAATAGGTATTGATCCCTAGCCATATTTCAAAAAATGCTCACGGTGACAATCAACAGCCAACATCTGCTGTGACCTGGAAAATGAATGCGGCGAAAAGCCGCAAACGGTATGCATTGGTGAGGTGTCGCTGCAACATCTTTGAGCAGCTGAAAAAAAGGCGAGTAGAAAAACAACACAGGGATGGATGTGTCTGAAAATGGTGGGGTGCCACCAAAATGTGCTTTTCAATGGGGAAACTAGTGATCATCCATGGGATTTGGGTGTTTCCCCTAAATTCCCAAAGAAAGCCGGATGCATAACATCTGGGAGATCACGAAATCTATATTTAAAAAAAAAAAAAAACATAATTCAACATGATGATGATACCCTGCCATAGCTCATTCCAGATGCCAGACGCGCAAGTTTGACACATCTTGTAAGTTCTTGAAGTTCTTGACCATTGGTCTGGATGGTGACACTGTGAATACTTCACTAGAACTGAATGGAATGTTTCAAGTTTCAAAGTATTTGGGTCAAATTTTCAGACCTCATCGCAGATTTTGGTCTATCTAGTACTAACCATTCATTTCCTACCCCTATTTTTGCCCATACCCTTGTGGTTTCCGGCATTGTGCCCAAGCCTGGTATGGCCGGTTGACCCAGGTCCCGCCCATTACCAGGGACAACACCAAGTTTAAAAAAAAGAAACTCAAAGATTGGCTTCGAAGATCCGAACAATGCTGCAATAAAAATCAAGACAATCTAATATCTATATGTATATATAGACACATCATGATACATATAGGTTGAATAAAACTGATGCCACTTGGTCATTTTCAACATCCTCAACTCAAGAATGCTTTTGGCCAAGTGACACAGCAGGGAGCTCTGGCCACTGCGGCGGTTGCGGCCGCTATGTCCTGCAGGGAGTGGGGCCTTGTTAGAGGATTCTTTGACCCAAAAACTATAGAAAATCAGTATGTCGATCATGGGTCAGAACTCTGGTGCCCTGCTGAACAGGAAAATGATCCTTTAAAATAGCTGGAAAATGGGGTTAATCCCGCCAAAATGTTAGAAGAGGTTTTGATCCATCCCCAAGTTCCTTCTATGTTTGGAGGGTTCATGAAATTTGTTGGCTGATAAATGGAGGAGTGAACAGTGAACACATCCCAGCGGTGACAACATTTCTTGTAGACCGAATCAGATAGTGGGGAAAACAAAGTGTGAGGACGTAGACGAAGAAATGGCCGGAGAGGAGAGAAACGGGATACCAACAGACCAACAACAGGCTGATCGCTCTATTTGTCTGTGGATTGCGGGGTCTGGAGGGCAGCCATTTTGCGACGGTGTTCGATATTCATCACATTTTGGGTCGCCGGACGTGGTCCATGGGTGTTGGTCCTTTCTTGGGATTGAACCACCCAATCACATGACTTCATTTGTAGAACAAGCATATGTGTTTTGGGATCTCAAGCTTTTTATAACGATCCTACATGTTTTTGTTGGGGGTAGATGGCCACTTAGATGGCCACTACTGCTGGAAAAGTACCATGACTGCGGATAAACCACCGACCCAGCTCTCCTTCAACGTCTCCGTCCGTATCCATGGTTCAGTTTGGGCTTTTTTTCAACATGAAGACCCCAGGATGTTACCAAAGAACCTCGAAAAGAGTAAGAAGATGCATCATGATGCATCATGATGCATCATGTTTTTTTGATGATTTTTGCATACTGGTATATACTGGTCACAAAAATCTTTGGCCAACCTCTGCTCACCAAATTTTGACATCCCATGCTTGTTAGAAAAATCCACCTGTTTTGGGCATCCTAAGCCGCCATGTTTCGTAAAAAGAAAGTTTCCACAGCGTCCTTGTCATGGAACCCCCCCTGCCTTGATCTGAGAAGGGCCATGCTGAAAATGGGCATCTCAAAATCAAACTGCGAGAAAAAAAGAACCAAGCCGCTACTTCAAGGATGCTTCCATTCAAGCAGTGGATGAAAGAGATCCCTTTGAATTTTTGCCAAGACTTTAGTGCTGGCAGGGAATCACATACAGCAAGCAAAACGAATTATTATGACGTGAAAATTTCAGATCTGGCTTCTCATAAATAAAAATGAATGACTCATAAAGTGGGATACTCCGGAATGGGGGTAGCACGAAGATCTGCTTTCTGCAAGGCCATGCCCAAGACAGATCCTAGCCCAGATCCTAGCCCGTCTCCATTTTTCGTATCCAGGCCATCTCAAGCAATCGAAAGTGAGATCGTTTCGCAGTTGCCTCTTGCACTGTGCGACAAGTCATTTGCCGTCTCAGCTGAATTTCACATATCAAGACAATGTCCCAAAGGAGGTGTCAAGCCACTCTAGCCGCAGCAGCCAGAGCTCTTCTTCTTCTTGCTCTTCTTAGCCTTGGAGCCTGTCTTCACCGCTGCAGCAGCAGTGCTGGCAGGGATCACAAAGCTCTCACGGGCCATGTCCGTCATGGCATGCCCTTCCTGGGGTGCCATATGGCCCTCCGGGTGGGCACAAACGACAAAACCAGGTGGGAGAGCCTCGCCCGGTGCAAACCACTTGCCCTGGGAGTGGTCCAGGCCGCTCATGGGCATGGCAGCAGGCATGGCAGGCATGTAGGGTGACATACTGTAGGCTCCTCCATAGGGGTCATATGGCATGTATGGAGAACTGGTCACATAGGTCGCAGGCATGCCCGCATCCATCATCACCGGTTGCGACGTTTGCGACATTGGCACCACAGCGGGTTCCGCTGGGTACGCCATGGATGCAACAAATGCAACAGATGTGACACGAGAAGGGTTGACGCACGATCGCAAGAAGCACTACAAACCTCAGCTGGGCCACAAAATCCATAGTTTCCATATGTTTCCGTGCTCAGCAGATCATCAAATCGTGGATTTGGAATGATCTAGAGGAGTCCCCAATCTGTCAAGATGCTCACTTAAGTCACTAGTCTAGTCACTAGTCTAGGCACTACAGAACTCTACAAGTACAACTTGGCTAGTTCATTGCAGATCATGGAAGCAGAGGCCTCAAGACTTAAGACTGATGCTCGGTGCCCTTGAATTGCATACGATTGCATAAGCTCATAAAGTGGGATACTCCGGAATGGGGGTAGCACGAAGATCTGCTTTCTGCAAGGCCATGCCCAAGACAGATCCTAGCCCAGATCCTAGCCCGGCTCCATTTTTCGCATCCAGGCCATCTCAAGCAATCGAAAGTGAGATCGTTTCGCAGTTGCCTCTTGCACTGTGCGACAAGTCATTTGCCATCTCAGCTGAATTTCACATATCAAGACAATGTCCCAAAGGAGGTGTCAAGCCACTCTAGCCGCAGCAGCCAGAGCTCTTCTTCTTCTTGCTCTTCTTAGCCTTGGAGCCTGTCTTCACCGCTGCAGCAGCAGTGCTGGCAGGGATCACAAAGCTCTCACGGGCCATGTCCGTCATGGCATGCCCTTCCTGGGGTGCCATATGGCCCTCCGGGTGGGCACAAACGACAAAACCAGGTGGGAGAGCCTCGCCCGGTGCAAACCACTTGCCCTGGGAGTGGTCCAGGCCGCTCATGGGCATGGCAGCAGGCATGGCAGGCATGTAGGGTGACATACTGTAGGCTCCTCCATAGGGGTCATATGGCATGTATGGAGAACTGGTCACATAGGTCGCAGGCATGCCCGCATCCATCATCACCGGTTGCGACGTTTGCGACATTGGCACCACAGCGGGTTCCGCTGGGTACGCCATGGATGCAACAAATGCAACAGATGTGACACGAGAAGGGTTGACGCACGATCACAAGAAGCACTACAAACCTCAGCTGGGCCACAAAATCCATAGTTTCCATATGTTTCCGTGCTCAGCAGATCATCAAATCGTGGATTTGGAATGATCTAGAGGAGTCCCCAATCTGTCAAGATGCTCACTTAAGTCACTAGTCTAGTCACTAGTCTAGGCACTACAGAACTCTACAAGTACAATTGGCTAGTTCATGGCAGATCATGGAAGCAGAGGCCCTCAAGACTTAAGACTGATGCTCGGTGCCCTTGAATTGCATACGATTGCATAAGCTCATAAAGTGGGATACTCTGGAATGGGGGTAGCACGAAGATCTGCTTTCTGCAAGGCCATGCCCAAGACAGATCCTAGCCCAGATCCTAGCCCGGCTCCATTTTTCGCATCCAGGCCATCTCAAGCAATCGAAAGTGAGATCGTTTCGCAGAGGCCTCTTGCACTGTGCGACAAGTCATTTGCCATCTCAGCTGAATTTCACATATCAAGACAATGTCCCAAAGGAGGTGTCAAGCCACTCTAGCCGCAGCAGCCAGAGCTCTTCTTCTTCTTCTTGCTCTTCTTAGCCTTGGAGCCTGTCTTCACCGCTGCAGCAGCAGTGCTGGCAGGGATCACAAAGCTCTCACGGGCCATGTCCGTCATGGCATGCCCTTCCTGGGGTGCCATATGGCCCTCCGGGTGGGCACAAACGACAAAACCAGGTGGGAGAGCCTCGCCCGGTGCAAACCACTTGCCCTGGGAGTGGTCCAGGCCGCTCATGGGCATGGCAGCAGGCATGGCAGGCATGTAGGGTGACATACTGTAGGCTCCTCCATAGGGGTCATATGGCATGTATGGAGAACTGGTCACATAGGTCGCAGGCATGCCCGCATCCATCATCACCGGTTGCGACGTTTGCGACATTGGCACCACAGCGGGTTCCACTGGGTACGCCATGGATGCAACAAATGCAACAGATGCGACACGAGAAGGGTTGACGCACGATCACAAGAAGCACTACAAACCTCAGCTGGGCCACAAAATCCATAGTTTCCATATGTTTCCGTGCTCAGCAGATCATCAAATCGTGGATTTGGAATGATCTAGAGGAGTCCCCAATCTGTCAAGATGCTCACTTAAGTCACTAGTCTAGTCACTAGTCTAGGCACTGCCGAACTCTTCCACTTTCCAGTTCATGGAAGATCGTGGAAGTATATTGAGCTGGAATCTCCTCCATAGCCACATCATTTTCCAATAGCACTTTCGGTCAATCAAAGCATGGGCACACCATCTCGGCTCAAGGACCGTAGTTGCCAAAATATCAGCTTATGAGGTTGATCAACCCCTGCGGACAAAATGGAGCATGGCTGCAGTCTTTGCCAACCATGCTCCAAGAATTGTTCCAAAGCAACCAGGAGGCACATTGGCGTTATCAGGGTTGCACACCAAGGCAAAACAGTGGAAAAACACCTGCAACAAAATGTCTGCACGATGTGCTTGGTGCATCTTGGTGCTGGCTGTTTTTCTGGCCTACCAACATTACTGAAACATCGTGAAACACTGGCTGTGCAACCTTTTGCTCCTGAAGAAAACTGTGGCAACTCAACTTATCCGACACTTCCGACAGCCGCCTCTGCCTCGTGGCCGCTGCACCACAAGCTGCAAATGACACTCTGTGGAAAAAAGTGTCCTACCATGTCCTGCTCCAGAGGCAAAATGGTCATCCCAAGAAACATCACAAAATTGGTCTGCCGAGACACCTGCATCTGCGGGAATTGAGAATGCACAGCGGCTGTTCCTGCGAGACTTGAACCAACTTCCCAGTTCACACCTGGATTGCTTTGAAAACTTGGGAATGGTTCAGGCTCAAGCTTTGATCAATCCTTGGCTAACATCTCAATGTCGTGTGAAGTGGACAACTTTCTGTCATCCTCCAAACTTCCCCCAGGAATGGGTTTTCAAATCATGACCGCCGCAGTGCTCTCCTTTTAGAGACTAAACCATAGCCCAAGAAATCACAGGCTCCATCCTGCATACCAATATCAACTTTGGGACCCTCACTCTTGGCTGTTTAATTTCCGTGCCCAAAAATGCCCAAAACAATATTTCTTTCAGATCTTTCAGCTACCCTCCAATATCATCAAATATCCAATACCAATATCAACTTTGGTACCCATATAGATTTCAAAGGTCCCAAGGAATCCCAAGGGATCCCTTTTGGGGTCCACCCGATCAGTCGAGTCCTGTCTCTAATCCCAGCAAGCGTCTGCGTTCACTGGGACCCGCCTGGCCCCACCTGAATGATGACTGGCTGGATTTTTTGTTCAACTTGTGCATAGGAAGATCGGAAAACAAAAGCATGGTGACTTGTCCTCAAATCCAGTGGTTTAGCTTCATTTTCCGCCAGAAAATCGCCATCTTGAGATAGATAGCTAGATAGATAGATAGATAGATAAGTATATGAATAAACAATTAGATGAATAAGAATAGATAGAATGGAATAGAATGGAATGGAATAGAATAGAACAGAATAGAATAGAATCGGATGGAATCGAATGGAATGGAATAGAATCGAATCGAATGGAACGAAACAGAATCGAATGGAATAGAATAGAATTAGTTATATAAAATTAGAATTAGAAGAGAAGAGAAGAGGTTAGATTAGATCAGAGTAGATAGAAGGATAGAACACCATATACCCAATTCTTAGACAAAACCACATGACTGGAGATGATTAGGCTGCCAACTCCTGCCAGTTGATTCTGCGCGGGCCTCCTGCCAGGTCAGAAATGGAAGTGGCTTGAAGGCATAAAATGGGGGATCCCCAGTCGTCACCATGTTTGTTTCAATGGTAAAAGGACCAATGATTTGGATGATTTGGGGGTACCCCCATTCAGGAATCCTCCATTTGACATCATGTCATGTGACCTGCATCCTCCAGCTTTCGTGAGCTTTCCACGTCTCATTGTCGTTTCCACGCCGTTGCAGAATTTCCACAAGATCTGAAAGGTACCATTTGTCCAACACCAGGATTCCCTACGCTTCACATGCTGCACCTACAAAATTCCAGACATTCCAAGGTGCTGACGTTTTTTGGGCCAATCCAAGGCGGCTGGATAGAAGTCCGCCACAGAATGACGCCTTGGCGGCTCAGGGAGTTCTTCGAAATTGCGGCAGGATTCAACCTGGTGCATGAAACTGAAATTGAAGCCTTTTTTCTTCGTGACAAATATAGAACTTACACCCGGCCTATTCAATTTTGGTACAAGATGATTCTATTTAAGCACCTGTTTGCTATGTGTTTACACCCAGTCTGAACATATCTGAACCATGGTTTCTATGTAAAACATCTTGAGCACAGCGGTATGTCCCTCCACAGCGACGTCGTCCCTGAGACCCCAACACTGCATCGCTGCTCAGCAGCCGATGCATGAGCCATGCTCTCTGCTTCTCCTCGTCTGCGGCAACCCAAAATGGATCGAAAAAATGGAAAGCCGGAAATAAATTTGTGGGGTAAACATGGGTAAACATCGTCTATGACATGACATCCTGAAAAAAAAGATGCGTAATTCTATTTGGGGTTCCTGTACATGGATACATCTAGACACACATGGTGTACAGGTGGAGAGTTGCTTAATTGATATCATGTTCTCCTTCTGCAATTCCAGTCACTGCCAGGATGATGAATGAGTATGGCTCCTTAAACAAATGTCAATAAAGCAACTCGTGGTTGATGACCCCCCTGCTCCACGGTTTCCCAGTGTTGCTTACATTTTGTTTCAGTTCTTCAAATCCAGCAGGAACTGATTTCCATTCCATCACCGCTTCCCACCTGCGGTGTGTATTGCAGGTCTTTGGGCCCACGGAAGGGCCGAAAAAAGGCCTCAGAGGACATCTAAGGAGATCTTCAGTCTGAGCAGCCTGCAACCCTAAAGATGTTGATTTGGCTATAAGATGCTATGACTATGGATGCCAAATGATGTTAACATGGATTCTACTATATAATATATTTTGATTTGGCTATGAATATGGATTCTACTAATGGAACCAACTACTAATGTAAAATTAAGGATCTTCGAAACAAATAGACATGACTGAAATTCGCTGTCGAAGGAAATCCAGTCCCACACCTCTGGGCCGTCCAGTAGCAACACTGTTCCATGCACCTGCGCTGCATCCAAAATTCAGCAACGGACACGAGGATGTTTAGTGGTCAAACAGATGTTGGGTTTATCATGGGAAATCATCGATTTCAGGTGCTTTCAATTTTGCAAAAATCATCGTTACATCTTCAACCACCTGTTGGGCCCAGTTGACTTTGATCACCGAGTTGGGCAGGTTTCATCCTCACCTCGGCGTCCGCCTGCCCAGCAGGGCCCAGCGAGACACTTGGCACCGTGCTGGACTCCATTGGGGCCTCAGTGGCAATGTCTTTTCTCGCTATGTCTTTCATCTGAAGATGGAAAAAACATGGGAAAAACCCGGGTTTTCTTTAGCAAAAGCCATCCATTGCTTGTTACGAATATTCATCCAAATGGAAGTATCACAACGAAAAATGACCCCAGAAAAAAGGATGTCTAGCAACAAGAATGGATAGATCAACCACAGGAATTTTCAATAAGTCACCCAAGGTTGTTAGACAGAAAGCTGGACATCCCAGCAGCAACCATACGGGACATTCACATCAACAGTAGGAATGGAAACTATGGCAAACCCAAACGCTGCCTAGCTACCATAGGATCCTCCGCCAAGAGCAGTTCCGACACCTGCACGCAGCTACAAGAGCTAGGCCTCTTTGAAGCTAATGAAAAATGTATGATGAGGATTAATGAGGTACAATATTATAGAACTAATAGCCTATGACTCATATGACATCATATGACTATCTACACCTCCATAAACTTTATCTGGAACAGTGGAACCCAACAAAATCGGGTCTGAAAAATGCAACAAAATTGCTCTTTGAGATGGTCCTCTTGGACACCTTTTTGTTGAGAAAAAACCCTTCCGAAGCCCCGCACCTCTGCTCGGAGGAGCCGTGTGGGCTGAGTCACCGGCCTGCTCCACGCCGGCGCCTTGTGACCTGAGGGTTAAAACCAACAAAATTGGTGGTGAAACCAGGAAGAATGAAAGTTACACCAGCAGAAAGAAGATTTAAGCTAGCAAAAATTAGGGTTAAACCCTGGTCAAACCAGCATTTGGGGTATAGACAACAAATTGTGGGTTTCACCGATGCAAAAAGATTTGACCAACAAAAGATACGTGGCTTCACCAAGAAAAAATAGGAAACTTTACCGAAGCTAACCCGACAAAAAAAATGAGAATACTGCTTACTGCTTGCAAAACTGGGTATGCAAACGGCACTGAAAGAGAAGCTTCCAAAACCTGGAAACACAAAAAAAGATCCAACGCTATTGATATCCACGTCCTTTGGTCATACTGTCATACTCATATGGGGTACTTGTGCAGTGAGAAATTGATACTTTGTCAACAGAAAGAGATCACCAACAAAGATGTCATGCTCTGAATGAAAGCAGATACGTTCGTAACTACATTTTGGTAGGGGCAATCATTCGAACCATCCGGACAGAGAACATTGATGCCCAACTGCCCAACTATGATGGCCAACATTGGCTGACCCTAGATGCCCTAAAAAAAAAAACATGTCGATGTTCCCCATGTATGGCACAAAATCCACCCGCTGACTTACAATTCACCAAGCTTTATCCATGAGAGCATCCACTTCATGGGGTACAATGTCAGGCATCCAATTTAGCCCCCCGGCTTTTTTGGGGAGCACAAAATGATACAAAATGAATAGATCAACCACCAAACCAGGTTTTGTTGGAGGACCTTGTCTATTGCCTTGTCTATTGATAGATTGATCCCTATCTAATAAGAGCGCCATCAATATCCCCATCCATGGCGCCATGACTGGCCCGATATACCCTATTTAGGGCCTATTTTGATCTATTTTGAGTGTGTCGGAAAATTAAAATTGCAATTCTCATCGAGAAAATGCTGATTAACCATTGGCTTGAGGGACTTCCCCCTAAAAATTCATGGAAACCCATGTGCAACCCTGCTCATGAGAAGTGGCACAACAAATCTGGGACCCCGAACACAACAGCTCAGAGATCTGCGTTTGCATCTCCACGGGCATCCGCTGCCTAAGAGGTGCATGTTGAACTTCATCTGGGCCATATGGATTTGTCCGAAAATAGGGTACCTCTAAATCGGCTAATCATGTCATCATAGTTTGCCCTATGAAAAATAGCATGTGGGGGCTATGCACCATTTTCAGACAGATCCGTATACACATGGATAAATTATAGTAGTTCATGAACCTAGAAAGTTCTGCACTTTTGGCAACGATTCCCCCCATGCTGAGATCTGGACAGGGTGAAGCGAGCACTTCCCTCCACCTGCTTGATCACTAGGCAGATATGATACTTTGCCTGAAAAAAAAACTGGGAAAACCCGCCAAACCCCATGGGTTTATCATCACTGTCCCCCATTAAAAGTGTTTTTTTTTGGTGGGATATGCCCTATTTTTGGACTTGAGTCTGGCGTCTTGGAGCCTGGGCCAAGAGGAAGAAACTGTACTGTCTCCTGAGTTTGGGGCGCAGGTCTTGTTGAAAAAAAAAATTAAGATCCCAGGCTTCATGGCTATGACTCACAAAAAAAAGATCTTGGACCCAAAGAATTGGACTACAGTCCTGACTGATCACTGCAGCTATGGTTTTTACTGAACATGACCTATTTCAAGTGGGTCAGTTGGTACCACTGGGTCGAGCGTCAAGGTGGCCAAATCCCTCTCTGCCAGCTGCCCAGGGCGGAGGTCGGCCTTGAGTTTGTCACACCCATAGGGTGTCCATGGGCGCGGTGACTTGTTTGGGATATTTTTTGGGGGGTCAAGAAATGTGGAAAACCAATGAATCATGACCAATGTTCTAGATATTTGATGTTTTTAAGCATGTATAGGGACAAAAAAATGTGCCATGTTTTTCACTTTCACACGCGCTCAAAGGTCCGTACCTTTCGGCCTAATGCAAACATTTTCTATAACAGCCATTGCCTCCAAAAAAACGCTCATAACGGTGCAAGAATTGGCACAACCAACAAAAACTTGAGGAGAATTTGACAATGCAGGGACCGAGCAGGGGTACTCTTGCCAATCAGTGTGTGTTTTTTAAGCTTGTCTGCAGATATGCTAGTCACACATATGGGACCATACCAAATAGATAGTAAAAAAGAACGAGGAAGTTCACCACTTTATACAACTTCCATGTATATTGACACCTCTACATGAACTGTACCCTGTTCTATCCTGGCGATGTTTAATTCATTAATGCTGGGTCCCCACTCAAACTGAGCTGCCAGCGATCCAGCTCAAGATGTGTCTCAGCTGCATATCGGGCAACACCTCAATGGCCGCCATGTTTCGCCCAAGGACCATGGGCTATGTGCCCCCAATTTCTGTGGCTTGATATGGTACTATTTGGTACAACCACTTGATAGGGTCCTGAAAATCCCATTGAAATCCATGTAAAATCCATTGATTCTCCATTGAAATCATTGACAGCCATTTTTAGGGTCATGAAGAGAAAAATCCATGGAAATCCATGGCGATTCGTGACATGCGAACTGACAGCCGACCTCAGCTAGTCAGATCTGGGAGCCACCGACGATGCCAGAGGCCAGGAGGCTTGCGATGATAGACACCTTGCTGGTGGCTAGGTTTTCTAGGATGTATAGGAATCCCTTGTCATGGGTTTATCAATCCCTATTAATATTTCATGAATTGATGACCACTCCAAGGACTGGGTATACCAACTCTTAACCATGGCACAATATAGGGATGCATCACCACACCATCCAGGCACAAAAGACCATCAGAATCGGCACTTGAGCGATGCTGGCAAGCCTGGTACCCCACTGAACATCGCAAAAATCCACAGAATTATCAAGTTGGGATGCTTCAGGGTGTTCACCTACCCCACTTGTTTGAGACACATTGGTGCATCTTTGAGTTCTTACCCACCGCCATATATTTCTTCCAAAACCGGTCTTGGTGCTTCGCACCACATCATCCGCCGGCAAAGGTCGGTGAGGTGAAGTTTCGGCCAGGATCCTGGTTTGATCCGGCTGGGCTTTGGAAAATCCCATCGGTAAATGGAAGATATCATGGGCTACCCCTAATGGAAACCTCCTGCGAAGTTTCATCTACGGTAGATTTTATATATATATATATATTCTGACAAATGTGAAGTTTTCTGAGCCTGCTCACGTCCCACTTGTGAAGTTTTCTGAGCCTGCTCACGTCCCACTTTGATGTTCATAAGTTTCGAAGATGGAGTTCTACCCTTGGTCAAGGTCCCACTTAATACTGGCTTAATTCCAGTTGACGGGTAGTTGTAGTGTACCACTACCTGGCCGCAGAAGGGTGAACCTTTCCTACCCATCGATCAATGGGGGTGCAGTTCCACCGATCAATGGTGAAAAAAAAACATCGTTGTAGGGGTTCCCAACTTCTTGGGCTTAAATCCCATGGTACCCACCACACCCCTTGTCGCACCAACCTGCAAATCATCTCCCGGACATCTGTGCCGGCCTGTTGTATTCATCGGAAGGGAATAGAACAATAAGGGATAACTATGAGCACCATAACTATATAACTATAACATACTATAACCAATCATCATGTGGTGATTCTATTCTTCCTAGATCTGATTGAATTAGTCTCGGTTTTAGGAGAGACTCTGAATGGAGCTGCGAATGGTTCGTCAGGCCCTAAGGCGTTCGGAAATTTCATGGCGATGAAAGAAGCGAAGAAATTCGTCGTCTTCCATCATTTGATCCTTCCACATCTGAACAGGGAAAGAGAATGAAATAGAACTGACTTGGATGATGTGTGCCTGCTGCATGCGCTCACAAAACGTCCCACCTAGCACTAGAATAGTCACTAGAAAAATCCGTGGCTACGCTCCACCTAGATGATGTTCAAAATCCGCAATTGGGAATAGGACACTTGCCATCCCCTATCCAACCTCTACACTCTACACTGTATTCTAATCATCACCATTGGGATCACCGCAAAAAAAAACTCTGCAAATTTTCTTTCCTATAATGATATGTCTGCAAAATTCATCGAGGTTCATCAATTTCATGATATTTCCATTCAAAATCCATGACTGCAGCACTTCGCCTCGTCGACAAGTCCCAATCGCGTCGCCGACGAAAGAAACCGCACCATTCCCATAGTGGGCAGCCGAGCCAGCTCCTGTCGATCGTTGTCGCGACGCAGGTTGTCATAGTTGTCCGGTACAGAAAATACATGGGTGTCGGGGTGTGTCTGAAAATGGGATTTGTAGCCATATTTTATAGCAAGTCTAAAAATGATATATAATTGTGATTGAACAGCGGATTTATATAGGGGTACCCATTTTCAGACAAACCCACATCTGGGTACACTGTAAAATAAAGTTTAATCATCATAAGCCCCCAGAAATGCTCTCATTTTATTGCAGAGAAGTAATCTATGGTCACACCCCGACCCACTAAGTTGCTTGGTGGGGCCACCATACCACAATGGCTGCGATCATTTTTTTTCTTCTGGTTTGGGAATATGCCAAGGACCCCTTCAGCATTTTTTTTCCCTGCAGTGGAAAATCCCTGTTTTCCACGGGAAAATCCGACGTTTTTCAGCGGAAAATCCAACGTTTTCCGTGCCAGGTCCTGCTGCCGCCGCTGGCGCTGGTAGATCCGCGCCAGCTCTGGGATGCGAATGCGGACCACCTGCGACATCTCCCCAGTCTGGTTGGACCACTGGGGATTCTCCAACTGTCAGCTGCCTCGAGAATCAGCATCCCTAAGTGATCTACGCGCTGTTCACTTTTTCGGATCTAAGTCCCAAGCAGCAAAGGCTTCCAGCAAGAGCATCGCCTCACGGATCTCACGGTGAAGGATGCTTTGATGTGCAAAGTGATGTCTAAAACCCTGGAGATGTTTTTCAAGGCGCCCTTGCATTCATTGGGAAAATCATTGAAAATCATTGAGAAATGAAATTCGAAGTCTAGACCGAGTGCTCCCAAGCTCGACGGGTGCCTAAGCTGGAACGGATAGCAACAATAATTCACACAACAACCCAAGAATTGTTTCTAATATGTTTCTAATTGTGTCTGACTGCACTTTTTGATGAATGAGTCACTCGTCCATTTTCGATGTTTCATCCCCACATCACCAGCCGTAGGGCCTGCTGCCAGCTCAGCGCTTGTCTCCGCTCAAGCAACTCGACTAAGACTGACTCAAACAGCAAATGGTAGGGCCTAGCCACGGCAATCCGTAAGGTGACTCGTTTGGAAGACCTAAATCACATTGTTTTTCGCCTTCATCTGCTCTCTGTGGCTGGGTTTCTAGAAAGACATGGAGGTATTGCATACTCCGCAACCCAATTAAGGCCATGAAGTGCGTTTGCAAGTGGAAAATGAGCGTCCCCACACGGCTCTGAATAAGAATTTCTGAGAGTTTCTCGCTAATTGCTGTTGTTAACCCCTTAACATCCATTGCTCACCCTCTTAAAGATGCATTCGCGAACATGTTTTGCAGAAACCAGGGTCCTTGAGGCTTCTGAAATCCTATGACATGCGGTGCTCCAAAGTCTTGACTTTGGGGAGTTCTTTTGAGGTTCTTTTCCATCTTCAGCCAGGTTGTTCTTTGGATTACTGCACCAGAAACTTTCCAAAACAAATATATTATCTGTTTGTTGATTTATTTATTTAATTAGTTAGTTAGTTAGTTGATAGGAAAAACCTGGAATTTCCGAATTTCTTGTGTTTTTTCCCCCAACGATCCTCCAAGCGTGCTTTTGAGCAACTACCTGGGGCTGCGCACAGGCCCAGGTCCGCAAACCTTCGAGGCCACCAGGGTGGTGTTTCCCCTAAACCAAGTCTGCGATGTTGGTGATTCATCTGAATCTTAAGGATGTCCTAGAGGTTTTCCCCCAAACCAAGTCTGGGATGAAGTGATGGGTTTCTTTCTGGTGATTCATTGTCTAACTTGATGTAGCCACAGACATGTTGTAATGTAACCGATCATGATATCATATGGTGACCGATAATCCAGTCCAATCCTAGTGATTTCAACCATGAAAATATAAAGTGGGCGGTCATCAACCTACTTGCTGGGATTAAAAAAGTGAAACGATCAACCAGAAATTATGTATGATCCAACATGACATAGCTGCTAACCTGGTAATGGTTGATACTGTTGCTTAGTTGCTACTATTGGTCATATCATATCCAGGACAATCAAACAGGTAAGGAATATTGGTCGGATAATAATCCATGATTTTACAGGACTTCAATTGTAAGATATTTGAAGGGAGTTACCCTATAGATGGAGGACTTACTAACCATCATCAGTTTCTATAGCTGGGACAGTCCAACCATCAGTCCAACCATTGGTCCACCATACCTGGCATTGAATAGATGGGCAACCTCCTTTGTCTGAATACTTAAATGATGGCAAATTGGAGCCTTCACTTTTCCCAACAATTCCAATATTTTGGTCGGTGAAATTTCCCAAGTAACAGCCTCTTTCTCATGTCAGAACATTCCCTGGATTTTGTTGAAGGGAAAAATTACATTCGAAACACGGAAAAACCAGACGATTTCCTGTCACCATTTCCTGTCGATCTTCCAAATAAAATCAAGCCATCGAAGGTCATATTTCTATATATTTGTTGCTTAATTGCATTATTCTTGCTGGTTCAACAGTTAAACCCCATGTTTGATCATGGTGAATTTCTCCTCAAACTCCTGGGATCCCCGGCAAATCCAAGGCTGAAATCAGCTGCAAATTCGACAAGTCCTTCACATGCATCGCCACCTGATATGGGCCCTGCCGAAAACCCTGATATGAACAGAATGTGAGAAAATGATAGAAACTGATCTTCAACTATCTGCGGATAGTTCGATGTCATCCCGTCATCCCCAACAGGAATCAAGATGAGACATGCTCCGTTCAAAGAGAAACAGGTCAGAAATTGTCCTGAATCTTGAACTCCTAAGAAATCATTAAACGAATCTTCCAAAACAACTGCGATGGCTTAGGCAGCCTGATCCCCCAAGCGCTCAACGGCTTCCAACCTAACAGCAATGCGGAGGGTGACGTCACGAGGAAATGCGTGGGCTATCCCAAGCTCCGCATGAAACCGATGAAACCTGAAAACAAAATGAGATATCGAAAGCCCTTAGATTTCTTAGATGAAGTCGCTACTTAGCGTATGTTTAGAGATGTTTGCTGGACCCCATGTCGGCCACACGAATGGCCCATCGTCCAAAACCGATCACAGGGATTCTATGAATCTCCATGAACCTCCCATAGGCGGATGCAGTTGTTGGGAACTTCACCAATTCCGGAAGAAGTTGCTGGACCTATTGTTTCCAGAAAAATATGAGGTTGCCCCTTCGTATCTTGTTGCTGATACCGCAGTGTCCAAAATGAAGGATGTTCATCTACCCTATTTTGTGGTTGCCTGGTACCGAGTTTTGACCTGTACCAATGTTTTAATGGAGTATCCACACACCAGTGATTTTTGATGTCTACAGGTGCAGCACCTGGGTCCCCCTGCAGCAGTGGCTCTCGGTTGATGCGTGTTCGTCCTGCATAGAGTACCTGTCATGGGAGACGCCATTTTTGGGTATCCCCATTTTTGGACAAACCCAACGACTTTTGTTTGACTTCGTTAAAGTTGATACCTCTTTGGACTGTTGGCGCACACAACTCAAGCATTGGGACCTGCCATGTCATGGCGCATTCCCAACTGCACTTACAATCCAAAAGACCAAGTGGTCGAGCTTGGAAGTGCGGAAGCATTGGTTCTGAGCAATTTCTAGATGGCCACTCACCTAGTCTTCTAGTTTAGAGTTCCACACATTTACTGCCTTGCTCCCCAGGTGGGGTGGCCATTTGCTCCCATCGCGCACATGTTGAAAGGCTGGCAACAGCTGGTCCTTCCTCAAGCTCTCCTTGGCACAAGGGGTCACCACCTTCGACCCAAAATACAATGGCAATTTCCAACAAAAATGAGAAAACACAATATCTATATACATATATATATATACAGTATTATATACAATAGTTCACTCCCATCTTTTTGGGCTCCAGGTCACTTTTATTGTTAGCTTTTCTGGTCCCGCCCCATGGTCCAAGGCTCCACAGCTGACACGAAACGCTCCGCCACCACAGACAACTGCCGTTTGTTCAATGGGAAAAATCATGGGAAAAAACATGGGAAAAACATCGGAAAAACATGGGAAAATCATGGGAAAATCATGGGAGAATCATTGGAAAAACATAGGAAAAACATCGGAAAAACATTGGTAAATTCATGGGAGAATCATGGGAAAACCAATGTCCAGCTGGAAAAAACCATCGAACTATTGGACTTTCCAGCACGCCTTGTTTGTTTGTTCTTGCTGGGCACTGGAGGCTATGGAAAGTCCCCACTTGGAACTGGGCCTCGGCCAGGTTCGCGGACTTGGACTTGCCCAAACGACCCAAACCTTAGCAGCTCGGGTGATTTCCCATAGAATATCAGAATCAGCTCCTTGAAAGCTCCAAGAAACATTGGGTTAAACCTATAGTAGCTTCCATATTTTGGTGGTTCCTGCAGACCAGATATCCCACATCCCACCCAATTTTGGGGTGAACTCACAGCCCTTTGCTCGTTGGCTGCGAGGGCCCAGCGCTCCGCCAGCTCCAGAGGGCTTAAGGGACGCTCAGAATCAAAACCTCGGCTGTCGAGGAAAAAACAAATTGGATGCTGTGTAAAACCTCATATTCGATGTTGTCCCCTTTCAAATGACCAGAATCAGAAGGGGATACAGGTATATACGCCTTTTTCAGACAGTCCAAGAAATTGTTCTGATGCCTTAGGGACCTCAAATCCTTTCTCGTGGGGTGGTGTACTGTCTTTGTGGAGTCCAAATTTGGCTGCAACCAACATACCCGCAACTGCTAAGTTGGCCACAAGTAGTTTGCCTTCCTATGCCACGTCACTCCATTCCGATTTTCAACTCACCCCAGCCACTCCTCAGATGCAAACCTTCCGACTTCTTGGGCTTGTGGGTTTCCTAGCCCAGTTGAGGGAAGCAAAACTTGCGAGGCATCAAACCCATCCCAAAAAAGGGAGGCTGCAACCATCCTGCATCTATAAGTCGAGGTGCACAGACCTTCAAAAATAGGTTGTTTCTTTGTTCTTGGTCCATGGCATAGTGATCGGAACCCGACCGTGATCGGAACCCAACCAAACCCCGAGGAATTCCATATATATATATATACACAGTATATTATATATTATATATATATATATATCTCTCTTTTTCCAAAAATTGTTGCATCTTCCAAGGAAACCCACGTGCCTCTGTGCCTGGTGCCACGGTGGAGGACTCGGCCACTGCCTCCAACACTTGCAGCACCGAGGCCTTGATGGGATGATTTGGGGCGTACCCCCATGGATTGGAAACCCCCAGATGGTTTCCGGACCATACATTTCTGACATGTGTGAGCCATCATTGCCAGAATACATGCTAAAGATCATTGTGCTCCGAGCCGCGCCAGTGATAAGTGATAGATCTTATTTTCCAACCATCTGCCACTGATCTTCGGAGTATCTGCATTATGACCAAAGCGTTGCTGTTCGATCCAACTACCTGGCTCAAGGCACTAAAATGACTGGCTCTTGTTGCCATCATTGGTGAGATTTGGGGCTTAACTTAGCCAATCATTAGTCAATACTATTGGTAAATGTTCCCCTTTAATACCAGTGATTTTTCAGGTCTTGCTGGTTGCATCCAGCTTTTTTCGTCCCTGGTGATTTCTATTCCCACAATACTTGTCAAATGGAACATTATCACATTTCTTGGGACTTGAATTAAAATGTCTGAAACCACCAACCAGCTTTGTATCCACTTTTGTTGGTTGAAACAATGATGATGATGATAATAATAATAACAATAATAATAATACCAGTAATAGTAATCATCATCATCATCATCATCATAGTAATGATAATGGACCTTCGCCCCATTTTTTGATGAATGTTTCCTGTTTTTGGTGAAACACCCGATCTGCTTCTCCATTCCTTCGCTCGGTTGCCCTGACCAGCACCGGATGACTGGCATCGCGGCGACCATTCACTGCGGCCGAAAGGGCATCGCAGCCTGAAGGGTTCCCCGGTGTTGATCAAGAACAGGGGGATCCGCATGGAGTTGCTCCATTTTTTGGCCAGAATTGATGGGAAGTATCGAACATGATCTTTTCAACTATGAGCTTTTTCTTGGCTGGTTCATATTTTCCCAAAACTCTCCGACAAAGCCAGGGAGTTGGCTTCCAGCTAGTTGGAAATGGGCGAAGCAACAGATTCCGCCATTTCTGGAGATTTGACAAGGCAAAATGGCTTTGTCCACACATTGGGGCCATTGGGGACCCGCTAAAATGATGATGAACAATGAAATGTTGGGGCTGTTCCCCTTATCTTTTCAAACAAACTCAACTAACCTTCAGAAACGACCGTCCTCTTGGTTGAAATCGCTGCAGCTAGTAGTTATCGGCACCAACCGAACACCCATTGGGTGCCTTTATGAAGCAGCCATTGATGGTTTCTGTAAAAGTAAAGCAATGTTTACGAAAATGTTTATTGATGGTTCTGTTATTGTTTATTCATATAAATTCATAAACCAAATAAAAATGGGCATGTTATGGTATGTTATTGTTTATCACCATATAAGATAATATAAACATGAATAAACCATAAGAGCAGCCATAATTTTTGGTGACTTGGGGATGATGGATCCTGATGAGCACCTCCCCGGAAGGCGGACGCACTGGCGATCTTGGAGGTGGCCTTGAGCAGGAACGTTGGGGAATGTCCGTTGGAGGGATCCAGGAGGTGGTGTGCCACTATTTTTTGGGGGTTTATACAACTTATATGCATATGATATCATATGATATAAGATAATTATGATATGTGAATAATTATCCCTAAAAGAATGGAATGATAAATGTAAATCTAATTATCCCCAAAAGGATGGAAAAGGTAAATCCCTACTGATTTGGACATGATTCGCGTTTTCCATATTTTTGGGGATGAGACTTCGTCATTGCAACTTCCATTAGATGCGCTGAGCTTCCAACCAACGTGTCCAGCATGGGTTGAAGATTCGCTGGGCTCACGTCCTGACCCAGTGCTGAGCCCATCCCAGATTTGGCCCCGCATTGAAAGCTTTGGGCTAAACAAGAGCTGAAGGAATTAATGTTTAATATTGGGTTAATAATGGGTTAATAATGGTGAATGGGACAATTAATGACATACCCTCCAGTAATCAAACCTGGCAATGGGAAATCTTCTATAAATGCAGGTAACCAGCGTAACAGCTGCGAAAATCATCTGTAACTGGTGGACTTTCCGGCACACCCATGTTTGATTACCAGATGGCATATAACCCATTTTCATTGAATTTTTAGTTGGGCCACATGTTGTGTATTTTAAATTACCACCGTCATGTTAGTTTCAGGGCAGACTCCACGGTGATATTGATGCGGAAAAGTCAAGCAGAGACGTACGTTACAATCACTATGGGAATCTAAATGACGCATGATGGCAAATCCCCTCTAAATGGATATTCTGTACTTGTTGGTTTTTTCATCAACAAGCATCAGTGCTTGGTTCGGCTTCGGCAAGTCTAAGGACATGATTGGAATAGAGGTTTCCCCCAAATCATCCAGGTCAACGACCATGATTTAGTATAACAACCGTGGTGACGACTGGGGCCTTCAGAACCCCTCAGGCCTTAGATTATTCTCCTTACAGTACCATCATTAGTCGTGCCCTAGCGAGGACGCTTTCACTTTTCCAGATCTCGATCGCGCACTTGAAGCCTTGGCGGTGCCCCCCCGCAGATCTTTGGCGGCGGGCCCCGGCCGTAACTTTGGGCTCCAGCGAAATGAAGGCCGTGGATGCCACGGTCATCTCCAAAAACCCTGGTCATCTCCTCTAGATAGTGAGGATTCCGCATTATGTGGAAACATGAACTGTTGACATGATACAAATTAGGAGATTCAATCGCACCTGTTTTGAGTCTCGCTCACCAATTGAGCAAACAAAAAAGAATCTGCTAACTCGACGGGTGCTTGCAGCACTTGCCGATTTCAGTGATTTGGGTATGGCCAAAGTTGGCGACCCCCAAGAGCGTTCACACTCGTTCCGTGTGCCATTAGTAATTGGTAGCTTGCCCCAATTCAACATCTTACATAAACATGCATTGCATCCAAGTTTGTGGTTTCAACCCATGTTTTTAATATTTTTCACCATGATATCTCGAGATTTTGGGGTTTTCAGAGACCAACTGGTCGCTCAGTCCACGGCTTTAGCGAGGATTGCGACCGCACTATGGGAAAAGATGCCTCCATTACCATACCTTGGAAGTCGACCCACTGCGGGACTTGGGGATCCGGGATCCCCAAGTTGAGCATATAATATCCCAGATCATATTCCCAGTCATGACCATCTAATGGGGAGGATGAAGATGATGATGATGACGATGATGACGATGATGACGACGATGATGACGATGATGATGACGATGATGATGATGATGACGATGATGACGATGATGACGACGATGATGACGAAGATGACGACGATGATGACGATGATGATGACGATGATGACGATGATGACGACGATGATGACGATGATGACGACGATGGTGACGTCGATGCTGACGAAGATGACGACGAAGATGATGACGATGATGACGACGATGATGACAATGGTGACGTGGATAATGACGATGATGACAACGATGATGATGACGATGATGACGTCGATGATGACGTTGATGACGACGATGATGACGACGCTGATGGCGATGATGACGACGATGGTGACGACAATGATGATGACGATGATGACGACGATGGTGACGTCGATGATAACGATGATGATGACGATGATGACGACGATGATGACGATGATGACGACGATGATGACGACGATGATGATGACGATGATGACGATGATGACGACGATGGTGACGTCGATGATGACGATGATGATGACGATGATGACGTCGATGATGACGATGATGACAATGATGACGACGATGATGACGATGATGATGGCGCTGATGATGACGATGATGACAATGGTGACGTGGATGATGACAATGATGACGACGATGATGACGATGATGACGTCGATGATGACGTTGATGACGACGATGATGACGACGATGATGGCGATGATGACGACGATGGTGACGACGATATTGACGATGATGACGGCGATGATGACGACGATGATGACGATGATGACGACGATTGTGACGATGATGACGACGATGATGATGACGATGATGACGACGATGATGATTACGATGATGACGATGATGACGACGATGATGACGACGATGATGACGATGATGATGGCGATGATGATGACGACGATGACGATGATGACGACGATGATGACGACGATGATGACGGCGATCATAACGACGATGATGACGATGATGACGATGATTATGACGACGATGATGACAACGATGATGACGATGATGACGATGATTATGACGATGATGGCGATGATGATGGTGATGATGGTGATGAAGGTGCAGACGGCGCTGACGGCGATGACGGCGACGAAGGCGACGGCGACGGCGAACGCGACGGTGACGGCGACGGTGACGGCGACGACGTCGACGTCGGCGATGATGAATAATCTTATGTAATGGTATTCTATTGTCAGACAAATCCATGTGCCATCAAATTATCTGTTTTGGTTTGAGACATCTCTTGAACAAGCCAAACCATGCCGTCTGACAGACATGCCTCCTGTTAGCTTATTGCATCGCAAAGAGACATCTTCATCAACCAACCTATGGATTTTCAGGAGTTGGAGGATCATCCCACTTAGTACGTGGTTCATCAGCCTAGTTAGTAAGTCCCCATTCAGTGGGATTGTCCTATATACAACTGGATTATACCCCCAGTTACCAACCACTTTAGCTCCCAATAGCTGCACCCTGCCGTCCGAGTCACACTAAGGCACGTCGCACGGATGGCACTTGGCGGCTTCCGGCAGTGCCCCGGATCTGCTCACCTCAACGGCTTTAGAGGGACTCAACAAGGTTAATTCAAACATATTCAAACGGTTTGCCCTCTGGTAATTCAAAAGTAGCTGACGTAGCTATAGAAAATTCCCTTAATTCCATGATTTACCTGCTCTGCTAACAAAGACTATTTTCCATAGCTATGTTCAATTACCAGAGGGTAACCTCAATGAAAATCAAGGCTTAGGGAAACCAAAACCATTGGGAGACCAGCTATAAAACCAATTGACTTAAATCTGATCCCTATGTGGATATGACTATGCCCCTGTCAGATGAGGAGCTACGAGGAGCTCAAGATGTTTTTTTCTGTCCAACATTTCGGGACCTAAAATGACCAGCTATGCTTCGCTGTGGTGAAGATAACAACAGCCCTTCCCTGAAAATCCACACTATGTATCCCTATGACATATGATAGTTGGTTGTATAGCCACGCTTTGTTAATTGAGCTCTTTAGCACACCAATTTGTTGGGACATAAAATTCATGATTTCCCCAATCGTGACTTTGGCCATCGCTGAACCCCGAGAGCTACGATCCAGTGACAGGCTTCGATGATGTTGTACATCGCCGGCACCTCACAGGGGAGATGGGATGGTGATGTGAAGATCAAAGTCTCCTCTCTCCTTTTTGTCCTTATATTCTTATCCTTCTACTCCTTCTATTTCTTCTCCACCACCACCACCACCATCATCATCATCATCACCACCATCACCATCACCATCACTGGATTGGTAACAAGAGTACAGCAAATCCCATAGTCTTTCTTGTCCACCCTTTCAGCACACCCAACCTCCCAGGGTGCGCCAAATGCTAGTAGACCGCCATGCGTGTTGATGGGGAAGTCCTTCGGTTCGTATGGCTTCCTGAACTCTGAGATGAGGTCACCCTCTACTATTGCAAAGGTCGACCCCCAGGGCATGCCTGTTCGAATATTCCACAAATCGATAGTGTCACCATCACTCAAATGTATATGTATATATATATATGTGTATATAATTCTCAAATAGTTTCAAATAGTGCCTGACAAATGAATCTCTGATATATTGCTCCAGCTGCAGCATTCGAAACTCTTCAATCAGAGGAGTTCAAAAGCAGTGCTGGTACTTGGAGGTGTTCAAGCCCCTTTCCAACAGTTTTGAGATGTCCGAAACCCAGTTTTTGATGCAAATGAACCATCATCATCTCCAATAATTCACCATCATCATCCCAAATAAATTGCTCCCACAAAAAAAAGACTCTGAGCCAGGGTTTATTCACTGCTAGTTGCTGGATTTTGTCCCCATTTAAATGGGGCTGGTTCAACTTTGTGGGTCTCCTGACAGGTCCCCCATGGCCCCATTCATCCCAGGGGCGATGTGCAGCGGAACATCTCTTCTACCCAGGTGCCGCACTGACCTTTGCCAGTCACGCCACAAGCTTCCAGGGCACGAATGAAGCACACTGGATAACAGTCCTGGGCAGCAGTCCTTTTAAAGGTGCAACTTGGGTGCCCCAAAGATGGATTGCCTGTGTACTTGACGCGAAATCTCATATGACATATCTTGAAATGGCCAAACTCGGTGGGTTCAGAAACTGTTCATGCTGACAGACTTTGGATACACAGGATGTAGTCAGAACAGTCAACACGGATTTCCAACCTATGTCGCGAATGAATGCTCCTTGGACATTATGTTCATCGAATAGAATCGATGGGACACATGGTTGTGAAATGTTGTGAATATGTACTGTGCCTGGCCTTTATATTCATATAGAATGACAAATACGAAGAACAAAAAACATCGTCAAACAAAAAAATCTACATCTTTCCCTCAGTTCAACTGACAGCAATAAAAACTGACAGGATTTGGTGGATCGCATTCGAGCATATCAACCACCACGCCCGCACCAAGCGACGTAAAGCCCGAACCATTGGATGTCTTCAGGCACCAGCTGAGCCTCTGAAAAGGCAGACCTCGACGCAGCCTCAATCTGGACACCAGAATTCAATGGTGTCCAAACCATCCCAAAAAACCTATGGCAACAGTTATAACATCTATGGTGTTTTACCTATCAGACCTATCATAAAACCATATAAAACATCTGGTAAAACCCCACCTCGCAGCTGAACATGCTCTCATCAATGGTCGCTGGAGGATACAAGGGACCACTCGCCTCGCCACCCCCCAAGATGACGATGCCGCCCGTGGCCGCCACAGGGCCCAGCTTTGGGTTGGCGTCGCCATCCTGGTGAAGCACCAAGGCCATGACGAGCCCGAAATAAAGGGGGATGGGGTTGTTTCATGTTTTTTTACATTAGGTGATATAATGTGTAATATATGTTTATGCCATCTATTCAACCTATTTCTGATGGAATTGGGGAAGTATTTTTGGGTTTTACCACATTACTCTTGATTATTTTGAGTCGACCATCCACACTGAAAATATCCTAAAATCAAATGATCTTTCCAGAATCCGTTGAGGGATGTCAACTATCCTTTCATCTCTTCACGTTCCGCATTTTTGGACCACCAGCACGTGCTGCACCTGGCTGCTCACAGAATCATGACCAATGTAGTCATCCATGAAACTGCTGCTGGCCACGATGATGGCTGCTCCACCATCAGCTCTCCGGGCGCATTCCAAGAGGTTGGTGGCGGGCGCGATGCGCCGGGACTTCAACACCTGGCACAACGATTTCGCTGGTCCCAGGTTGGTCACCTCAACGTATGCCCTGATAAGAGCAACCTTAGATTCTGACCAAATCCTGCAAAAACGCCATGTATAGATTATGAACCCCATGAAATCACCATGAAATCATCTTTTCCCATCCAAAAAATATGTCCCCAGGACTGTAAAACCATGAAAATCCCACAATCACCATTAAAACCCCAGTAAAACCTTATGAAAATCCCACCAAATCACCAACACTCCGGCACCTCGTCCAAGGAATGCGCCCTGCGCGTCAAGGCGTTGGGATGCCGTGCCGCCTGGCGCGACATCAGCACCGACACCATGGCCAGCTGCTCGCGTGAGATGCCGCCCTGCTTCAACAGCCACTGGGCTACCTGATGAATCCATCTGGAATGTGAGTGATGGATTATCATTATGGGTTTAATATTACCCTAATGGGAAAATCCACTATAAATGGCCATTTTCAATAGCTATGTTAAATTACCAGAGGGTAATAATTATGCCAGATGAATTATATGGATTATATGGATTAATCCAGATGGATTATCATTATCTGGCAGATGAATTATCATTTTCATAATCATTATGGGTTTAATAATTGACGGATATTATATGTTGTGTAATAGATGAATATGATATTCATCCCATAATGAATGATGGATTAATAATGGATTGTATCAATTCTTATATATATATAATATTAATTTATAATAATGCTTAATTAGCTAATGATGTATAATAATAATAATGGATTTAATATGGATTGTTAATTGTGGATTATTAATCCAACAACCAATACATTTATCATGATAGATTAGGGCACCTGTATCTATTCCTTGTCATATAAATAATCCTATGGACCTATGTACTAATGGATTATAGGTGGTAAATCCATCATGAATCATGAATGGAATGAATAGAAACGATGTACCATCTATTTAGATGGAATAATAGATTAATAGATGGATGATGATTCAATTCATGGTGTATACATATATATATAGCCATCTAAAAATAATAGAAAGGATTTATTATCTTTAATTTCTATCATCCATGCATTTCATTTCTGGATTCAGATGCTTATTATAGATGGAAATTTGCCTGAAATTATAGATGGTGAAGTCTGGCTGAATTTGACAATGAATGGATGAACCATCTATAATTGAGGGATTTACAATCATCAAAACTGGAAGAAACTGGATGGTGATTGAGCAGCAATTGTGGTTTTCACATCGTTTAACCCTCTATGATTGAAAATTTTGCCGAGGTTAAGCATGAAAAATCAGCATCTGACGGTCCAAAATGGTGCATGTGATTTGGTATTCACCATCAATAATCAACAAGAATAGTGAATATAACATGATATAACCAGAAGCGAATGGTGATGCAACTGGAAAAACTTTGGTGTGTCCAAGAAATTGGTGATTTACTATCAATCTCGTGGGGATGCAACCATCAAAGTAATGAACAATGATCTAATGAATCAATGGATTGATGTACAAGTATGGGGAAGTTCAAAACCGGAAACCCTGGTTTTCAATCATATCATGCTTGGGAATTTGAGGATTTTGCTGATACCAGTAGGGATGATTTTGAGTGATTAAAAATTGGAAGAAAGGAAAATGTATATATCACCCGACCCCCCTCCTGAGATCTTGATGGAACTCTATCAGCACAAGAATCATCCACAAAGGTTGTGGTGAGGTTGAAGCAAGTTGAATAGCTCATCAAGTAGTCTGTTTTGTTTACCCAGAAGGATTGTGCCCCACCAAGAACTGCCTGATCATAGCCATGCGGAATGCAGGGAGAAGGGAGCGAGTTCCCTGGGTCCTGCCAGGGATGTCGTGTCACACGAAGCATCTTTGTGGATTTGGGACCACAGTTCAAATGGCTCAAAGTCAGTGAGAACTCTATGTTTGGTCACCAAGAACTATACTGACCACCAACATAGTTACAAGCCTGCAGGATGGTTCAGGTCAACAAAAGAGAACCGAGATCCGCCTGTGCTCCCTGTTGCTGTATCATTCCAGTGGTTTAGATTGTTTGAGAAAACATCAGGAAAAACATTGTTTTCCCTGTGAAAATCTACATCTTTGGAGCGAAATCCTCCATTTTGATGCAACCCCAAGCTGCCCCAAGCCCATCCTGACACCCTTGATCCGCACGTCGCAGAAACTCTGGGGTTTCCAAGGAGGACACAGCATCCCCTGCCACCACCGCGACAGCGTGGCATCGCTCCTCCTCCAAAACCAATGGCTGGGATGTGGGTTTCACACCATGGCCCAAAAAAAATGGAGAAAACAAATGGAATGTCACTTCGTGGCCAAAAATCATTTAAAATCCATCAAATGTCAAATGATTCAAAGCCTCTTTGGAAAAGGTCAAATTGTCTGGTCCACTTTTGACCCGTACCAGGCCTTGGATGGAGACGTTTTTTTTCAGGGGTCCAAACAACTCAGAAAATCTGCCAAATCCTGGCCCATTCATCCACTTCATTCAATGATTCTCAATGTAACCCATTGGAATCAACTGAATCAACCCTGAAGTTCTCAAGTGCTGATTTTTTATATGCCACTTGAGCCATGAATAACTCCCCTATCCCATCCCATATGATTTCTGGTTGGCCAAAACTTGCATTTTTCCTTGGAAAAAAAGAAACAAAAAAGAAACAACAAGAAGCAATGCTTACGAAACAGAAACAAAAGACGAATCGCAATTTGCTTATTTCTGTTTTTTTCATGTTGTATTTTTTGTGGTGTGTTTTTTCGTTCTTGTGTTGTTTTCGTGTTCTCTTAATTATGTGTTTGTTTCCAGTCAAACGCAGCATGTCGCGTCATAATTTGAATCATCCACAATTTTTACCAGCTATGAAACCAGCTTTTGTTCCACTCTCCACCATTTCCCGCCCCATGCCTTGACCATTCGCACTGCCTCCAACAGGCCACTCACCGGTCCAGCTCCTCCGGTGTCGATGGTGCGCACGCGCACCGGAAGGCGACGAGGCAGCAAGCCGACCTCAACTTGACCAAGTTGAAGATTTAGTCCCCAACTTTACCAAAGGAACCCAAAGTCCTGAAATCTGTGCTTAAATGGCTTAAATGTCTAGATGTTAAAATATGTTAAACCTTCGGAGCCACACCTGTGTAGCCAAGTAGTGCGCCTCCATGAAGTGTGGGTGTGACAAAGACGGCACTGCCACCAGACCATCCAAGTCCTGTGGAGAATTGGGAGAACTGGGAGAACTGGGCCACCAAGCTTAACAAACCCCCTGTAAAAAAAAAAAAAAAACAATCATGGGTTAATCATGGGTTAATTGGGATTGTAACAATCATGGATTAATTTCGGGTTAATCATGATTAATCATGTACATACCTCCACTTATAACTTGTTTCACGTGGCATGTTCGCATCTGGTGTGTCTTTTTTGTTGCCCTGCCTTCATCTGCAGCCCCGCAGATTGCAGAGATTTTGTCAAGGCTTCCTGCATCAACTGAGTCGCGCTGCGGTTCAGCTTGCCCAGTGCTGTCCTGGGTATGGCCATTTGGATTAGGGATTCCAAACTTCTGCGTGGGCCGATCCAAGCCTGGCGTCTCTGATAGCAGCAAAGCCAATTCAAAGGAAAAAAAAACGTCAAGCATCACGGTCAAACTGCAGTGTTGCAGGATTAGCACGAGTTTGCACTTCGTCGAAACTGGTAAGTGGTGTGGTGAAAGGTGCGATCAAGGCGCATGCCATATCCCACAATCCGCACTGTGCTTACAGGTTTCGGCATGGCGGCAGTGATGTGTCCAACAAGCTCAAGCTAAATGAGGCTTGTCAAGGCAGACTTGGGTCGGCACTTGCTTGTTGGTTGTTATATTGTTGGTTGTTATGTCATGAAACTTCCTTTGGTTTGATGATTAAAGGATCATGTTTGTTGGTTAATGGGCTTCAGAAACTTCTGGTGTGTGTGTGTGTGTTTTTTCTGAACATAGGATACCCCCACCCATTTCACCACATGCTGCATTCCTCCAGGACCTACACCATAGTTCACTGATTCACCCTTTCAGGTCACCAGGTCCCAGGTATACCAGCCAGTAGTTTCATCATGCCAGCGGTAAGGGGTCTTTCGTTGTTTGTTTCATGTAGTCTATGTATACTTAGTGTACATATCTTGGCTAGTGGATATGATTGTGTCCCTTTCGGGGATGTCTGGATGTCTGAAAACGGCTCTCATAATCCCTAGGAAGCGATGTGCACCCCCTTTTGTAGATTTGTCACCATTGACATCATAACTTAATCATGCATGTTGTCGGAACAAGCTGTTACCATGTACACACCAACAAAAGGTCACTTGCCCCACAAAATATGTATGGGCTTGTCTGAAAATGGAGCACCCTGAATAAATTGTCATTTAATGAAAAAAAAATGTTGCTCAAAAAATATTAACTTTAGGGATTCTATGGTACCCCTTGATCAATATGTTCAGACAAACCCATATGTTTCCGTCTGAAAATGGGGCATACAAATGGCCAAAGGTTCCGAGAACGATAATCAACCATTGAGATTTTGAGGGTTTCCATGGTCTTTTAGACAAATATATGTTGGGGTTTCCATAAATGGTGGTAATTACTCCAACAGGCTGGATGGTTTATGGAAAATCCCAACAAAAAATGGATAACTAGGGGAAGCCCTATTTCAGGAAACCACCATATAGTCACCAGATGTCCAGGGCTGGTGCCGGCCTCGTCTGCAGCTAGCCTCACAGCCCTTTGCAACACCTCAGCCAAGTTATTGACCCCAGAACAGCACGGGTGTGTCTGAAAAAGGGTGTTTGCCAACAAAAGTTATGGGGAACCAGGAGGTTATAATAATATGATCTGTCTATGTATATATATATATATATCAATGTTGGTGAGAAAATATTGGAAAATCATGATTATACAACCAGTGATGCAAAGGTGAAAAGTGAATGATTCGGGACATTTTAGGGACCCTATTTTTGGACAAAACCGAACACTAAAATGGACATTCACTGCCAAGAATCTGCTTGGTGGCTTTCAGTTGATGGTTCCGTCACAGTCGAGTTCCCTGAAGGCCCTTTTAAATGGGCCTCATTCCGCAAGTGCTTACTCTGTGATTGTATGAAATCGCAGACAGTTGTATGCTTGTTTGACCTTTCCAACATTTATGCTGCAAGACCAAGCCAGCAAACATCAACCATATCGTGACCTGGGTCCTCCCAACCGCCTCAGTGAGCAACGAACCTCAGCAACAAGGGAGTCTGGTGGAATGAATCCCCAACGAGAACCGTTGATCACCCAACCGACTCAACACCAAACTAGGGTCTCCAGGGTTTCTTGCGGAGGTGATTCTTATTTAGAGTTACTATATATATAAGTATAAGTGAATTCAATGGGCACAAGCCGCCAACCGATACGACTTTGTTGCACCCCAGGGGCCCCCGCAACGTTGCCAGAAATCCGAACCACCTTGTTCTCCAATGGTGAGAACCTACCGTAGTGACGAGTGAAGACACAACTCCTCCTACTGATGAGGTTATCATCATCCCTCAAAATACACAGTATCCACCATGGTAGCGCTCAAATTGATACGAAAGTCTAAAAAAGAAACATGGCAAGCATGGGATTAGCGGGAAAGCGGGAAACCATGTGGGTTTGAAAATTGGGCAACCCGAAATGTCGTTGAGAAATTCCTTGTCCCCAGGAAAATCGCTGTTTTTTTTGGTATCCCGGTATCCACCGCTTGGCTCTTCTGCATCACCTCTCGGATCATGTCGGCATCATGGGATCCCATATATGCCATACCTGAAACCCGGCCTTGGCCACGACGCTTTCATGTGCTTCGGCCATTCGGCTGGCCAGAGCAGCCTCAGGCTTTTCATCACAGCATATCACAGCTGCCTGCAAGGTGGTCGTTGGACCTCAGCCCTACGTTTTTGGGGGTTGAGCCCCCACAACAGGCACATCAGGCGTTCTATGTGGGCTTCAACGCAACCAATTCACTGGAGGCACTTATTCGGACTCCCGGCCACCACGGGTGCTTCAAGGCTCTTGAGTAGCTCCTACAGGTCGTTGTCGAACCACAACAGCTGTTCACCAGGATACCCAGAGTTGTTGACCCATCTTGAAGACAGGACCTCTAGTGCCCTTCGATCATTTCTCTTCGATAGCGTGGAAAGATGTGGAAAAGTCTAGAGTTCTACATATTTGGCGGTCCTCACTGGTTGACGAACCTGGATGGCCGATCCAGCTCACTGGACTACACTGGGATGCTCATCAGGTCAATCCATGTTGGGATCGGGCCATTGAACGTACCCGCATAGGCTAGCCATAGCGCCATAGGGTTATATCTAAATTGAATTATTAGGTTTGGCCAATGCATTTGTTTGACCCTCGTCTGCCCAAGCTCGTCCAATTCAGTGAGGATCCTATTCTCGATTTTGAACCACGAATATTTGTCATGATTTATCGTAGAGATGCAAACTGTAAGAACCAACAGAACTCTCGGGGCGCCTGACCATGCCTGACCTTTACTTTTTATTGGATCTGTCCATTGGATCCAGCTTTCGGGAACTGTACTTTTTCTGGATCTGGGATTCCAGCTATCTGCCAGTGCATGCTTGGACGCCAGAAGAAGCTCCAGCGCCTGGCACTTCTCAGATAGTATCATATGGAATTCATATGGTATGATACTGGTATGGTGAACTGAAGCAGCTCCCCCAGGTCATGGAAATTGGACTTACCATGACATACCCTACCAGCCTGGTACAGCCGGATGACAGAAAAGGCCTGTGGCCGCGACAGCTGGCAAAGGCTGCGGGACAGTCGCATCATTGTGCAGTGGTCAATTTTTACTTGGAGAGCATGAAGCATCAGCAAGCTATAGAATGTCACATCTTCAAGGTTTAATGTCAACCGCAGCAGATCAATAAACTCCGGTTGATGAATTCGATGCATTCCTCCAAAGAGCGATATAATTTGCTACTTCAATCAGACCCCTCAATGATTAAGCCCAGGGGTTGGCAAAAATCCCGAGGTGATCACCAACTGCTTCGAACATCTTCGAACGATCCAACGGTCAACGCCTTGTACTCAGCTTCAGCACGGATTCTTAGGAGGCCGATGCTCACCAACCTCGATTGGAAACTCCTTGAGACTTAATTTGAGGGGTAACCCAAGACTGTCGAGACCTAAAGACCAACCTCAACAAGAGCAGTTCTTTCCAACCTACTGAACAATCATCTGGTTCCAAAGTTCCCAGTCCTAAATTTGGGAAGCAGTTTTGTCGTTTTCTCAGTCCAGAACTCAGGATACCTTGATAGCCTTGGGAAGGCCGATCTCCCTGGACAAAACGCTGAAATTCCCAGGGGCCAACATGACATGCCTGTTCCATCATTAGATGCCGGGCTACTTTTGTTTGGAGTTCCAGTTTTTTTTTAAACCTGTTGAATCCAGCACCTCAGACGGGTCTAAGTCTCGAATGTAGGTGTGACTCATTTTTTTACCATCAACTTTCAACAATTTTGAAGCACTTGTTATGGGTATGTCCAAAAGATGCAGGATAATACACTCAAACGTCCATGGAGTTTTCATTGAAACCCAAGGTCGGAGCCCCACAGGCGTCAGCGTCTTCAAGGCCCACAGTAGCACCACCAAATCCTGGGAGGCCATGTTGCAAGCCACTGGATCACACACCGGGGGATGAAAGGACAAAATCTGCCAACTTCGTGGGTTCAAATGGGGTTGCTAGAGGGAAACCAATGATTTTTGGCAGCGCCGATTCTGGAAAATCAAATTCTTAATCTGCCAAAACACGCGTTGATTTTGGGTGCAAGCTTACCCCATATTTGGTTGATTTGGCTGCAACGATGACATGTTTTT